ATGGTTGGAAAGACTAATTTTTTATTTAAGCGTTGAAATGAAGACGAAAAATCTAAGTTATGTGTTAGAGTATAAAAATGCTTCTTGAGCCAACAATCACAAATTTATAAATTGACTTTTTTAACATGATATCTGAATTTTATTGACTAAGAAATGAGGAATTTCATATTTACATGTAAGGGGCGTAGTAGAACATAAAAAAAGAGTAAATTACATAATTGGTCTCCGATTTTATGTAGTTTTCCATATTTAGTTCCCATTTATAAAATATTTAATAAACAATCCTCAATTTTTGAGAATTATTCCACAAATAGTCCTTTTCACCAAATATGACTTTATATTTTGAATAAATTCTCAAAATGGTTCTTTCTAATAAGAGTTTTTTCTAAAAATTATCAACGTGTTTCTTTATAATTGAGATGTGTTTTCTAAATAGTCTTTTATAAAAAAAACGTCTATTAAATGACAGTTAATTATAGAATATTTTGATGCTCTTTATTATCTAAATTATAAATAAGTACTCAAAAAGTTTTGTTTTTTAAATTAAGGGGGGGACACATCTCAATTATAAAGAATATTTAGGAAACATGTCTCAATTATAAAGATTATTTAGAGAAACGCATCTCAATTATAATGGAGTATTTCGGAAACATATCTCAATTATAAAGTACTTCGTTAGTAATTTCGCTTATTGAAGATTAATTTGGGGAAAAATTTTATTACAAAAAATTATTTTGAGAATTTAATCAAAATATTTTGTCATATTTGGTGAAAAGTACTATTTGTGAAATAGTTTTTAAAAACTAAAGACTATTTATAAAAGATCTTATACTCAAAGACTAAATATGAAAAACTGTATATATTCGGGGATCATTTATAAAATTTACTCTAAAAAAAACTTTCATAAATAATGGAGTGAGGGAAGCAATCGGAATAAATGAAGCATGTTGATTGGAGATTTTTTTTTTTATAAAAAAAAGTAAAAAAGGTAGAGGAAGCTATCCATAATGAGGTGAAGGTGTGGTTATAAAAGAGGGCTTTGAAGTGAGTGAACATGATGGATGGACCACTAGCTATAACACATACCCAGTTCAGTCCAGTCCAGTCCACGTGATATTCAATCCGCCCAACCAAATCCGGTGCCACGTACCCAATTAACCATCCCTCTCCTTCATCATCTTTTATATCTTAGTTCGGCCCGGTTCTAGTGACACCGGAGAACGGTGCCACTCCAGTGCCGCTGTGTTTTTGAGACTTTCTGATTCTCCGTTCGTAAAATTGATGGTTCCTATCTCCCCTAACTCACCCCTCTAAACCCCCCACCCAATCCCGCCATAAGCCCCCCACAAAATGTGTGGCTATTATGGGGGCTTACGGCGGAGTTGGGGTGGGGTGCAAGGATGGGGTTAGGGTGGGTGGTTTAGGGGGTGGGTTAGAGGGGTAGGAACCGTCAATTTTACGAGCGGAGCACCGGAGGGCCCTAAAAACGCAATGGCACCGCTAGTGACACCGTTTTCTGGTATCACTACAACCCCACCGATCTTAGTTTCATCTCATGTATACTCTCTCCGTCCCATAAAGATAGGAACATTTGGACTAAATAGTCCTTTTGTCCCATAAAAATAGTAACATTTGGATTTAAGTGGTAAAATAAGGGAGGGATAACTTTGTGTTGATTTTTCAACAGTAACCTTGATGTGATGGATAAAAATAGGATATGATATATAGATTATTAGAAAAAATGTATGATGTGATATGTAAGACAAAAAAAAAATAAGAAATAAAAGTGGTTTTTTAATATAAATGTGAAGAATTTTTAGGGACACGATTTATTTAAAACATGAAAGACTTCTTAGGACAGGGGAATGATTCTTTTTAAATTAATACATGCTATGTGAAAATGACTAAAAAAATGATACTCCCTCGGCTCCTCTATGTTTTTCCAGTTCATGTTCCGATATTATTTAGAAGGTCCGACTTTATTTAAATTCTTTACATATTTATCGATTATATGATAAAATAAAATAATTTTGTCCCAACTTAATCTGTATATATATATTTTGAAATCGTTTTTAAATATATAAATTTTGTTTTTTATTTTTACAATAATATTCATATAAAACAACTTCGCTGAAATATCGTAATAATCCTGATATTAAAATAACTTTTTTATATCAATATAAACTTATTTTGAAAAAAAAGAGGAAAAAAGAGAGAGAGGGGGCACTAAATTTTGTTTGGTAATGGGAGCACATGTATGAAAATAAGGGGAGCAAAGTAGCAGCCCCGCGCCAACATGTGTTAGCTACTCCCCTTTACTCACTCTCCTCCAATCATTCTTCTTATCTAATATTCCAAAATTATTAAAATTGCTTGCTTTTTTATTAAGTTACTTTGATAAAAAATAAATTAAAAAAATAGTACACTATAAATTTGATGGTTCATATTCCCGGTTAATTTCCCACCGTATGCATCAACTTTTTCGACCCAGTAGTCTAATAAATTTGGAAAATGAATTTGAAGAGGTTGGGTTTACCGGAGATACGAACCATCAATAGCACCGTAGGTACTCTGACTAGAATTGTACTTTGTCATATTATGAAATTATTTTTTGTTATCCGGCGAAAAATTAATTAAAGTCAAAGAGATCAAATCAAAAAAATGAACAACAATTTTGGGGAAGATAAGATAATAATGTTCTGCGAAAATTATCACACTAAAAAAAAACGTAAATCGTTCAAAAATACCGATGTGGATGGTCCCCAAACCCTGAATTTTGTGCACCTAAAAATCGAATTATAAGGCACGTTAGGTTATAGGTTTTGAAAAATAAATGTGAAAGCAGAATACGACGGTGCGACTACGTCGTTTTATTTCAGATTCCTCTTAATAATTAAAGAAGCTATATATGAATTTCGTACAATTCAAATTCCGAATTTGTTGACAATCTTAGTTCGAAAAAAAAATTAATGGTCAAATTAACGAGAATAATATATGGAAGATGACAACAGATAAAAAGTTAGGAAAACCAGGGAAAAAGAAAAAAGCTATCGCGGTGAGGTGGAAATGGGTCCACCTCAATAAAGCGACACGTGGCATGAGACGAAGCATTAGAGGGATGAGGTGGCAATGGGTTGGGTCCTATTATTATACATGTACACAACGTGAAAGAATAAGAGACAGAGCTCCTAAGAAGATAAGACTCTAGCTCAATGGGCGCTGATAAGTGATAAGAATAAGAACCAATTTTTTTTTTCTTTTGGGCGAAGAATACGGAATCTAAATTATTTTTTCTCTTTAAATAAATTTTAACGGACTCACTTGTTAAACTCTTTAAAACGTCGATCATGCCGACCGGCGTTATGGGTATACCCACGGCCCTTAGTCTTTGTTCTTTAGCTTTGAAATTTTGAACAATTAAATTATTGGGAGGGAGAAAATTGTCATAAATATGATTAGAAGGTGGATGAGGCAGGGGTTTTCACATTACTGCAACTAACTGTAAGCTAAGCAATTAAGTACAGTAATTAATTAAGATGAATAACTCTACTGTTATAATTAATAAATGGAGTCCTCTTGAAAGGAAACCAAAACCACAAGTGTTCATTTCAAACCAACACCCAAAAAATTAAGCCCCGGGGTGTCAGGGGGGTCGTTGACTAATTTTAGCAAAGCAATAAAATGCAATTAATGAAAGTGTGTTGCCTCTTGTTCAGTAAGTTAAAATGCATGAAAGAAAATTAGTCGGGCGGCATTGTAATTAGTAAAGAATGAGCTGTAAAATGTTTTAAAATGGTGGGGAGTGAGTATACACCAGTGCTGGCTTCTAGCTGTGGACACCACTTTTTGAATTACCTAATCTCTCTTTGAAAGTGATTAATATTCCCTCCCTTCACTTTTAAAAATTATTTTATTTGTAAATTAGTAGGCCCTATATCATAAAAAGTACTTTCTTCGTCCTGAATTGATTAAATATAAAACTTACATATTTAAAAAGTACACCAAAAATTTCAAAAAATAGGTGACAACTGACAAGGATATTTTATTTTATCAAATATATAATAAAAATACACTAATAAACAAAATTTCATGTGATTTTTGAATGGTAGAGTGTGTAAATCATTTAAGGACGGATGGAGTATCAATTAAATTGTTTAAACCTACACCAAAAATTTTACAAAACACAATACGACAAGAATGTTATCTTTTACTCCGTATCAAACAAACATTTTATCTTATCAAATGATTGATGAAATTATGCAAACAAACATAAATTTTCGAGAGTCCATAATAGTAACTGGAAAGTTTATTCTTGGACGGAGGGAATATTTTGTTATGAGTTTCAAAAACTTAAAAGAAATATTTGGTGAAAATTTACGTAGAAGAAAAAAAATAATGAGAAACACTAGTTTTTTTCTTCTTAAATACTCTGTACTATGTACTCCGTAACAACAAGTGATTTTCTTTGCAAGGGCAGTTAGAATAATGAAAAACAAACATGTTTGGAGTACAAAGGACCGTAGTTTGTTAAAGTCGGCCCAATAGTTTTGTCTACGGGCTTTATTGTTTGCTCCGTTCTCACGTTATGGGTAAATTTCACAAATGGTACCTGAACTTTAGCTGGAATTTCGAAGTGCTACCTGAACTTCAAATCCTTTCACAAAAATCCCTGAACTTACACAATCCTTTCACTAATGAGCCATTAGCCCGTTTCTAGGTTAACTTCCGGTCATTAGGGCCAAATTCGAATTTTATATATTTTAAAAATTTCAATTTGACCCCATTTCTTCTTTTCTTTTCTTCCACGCCCCGCCGCCGCTGCCCGCCGGTCAAAGTCGCCGGCGGGTCGGAGCGTTTTCCGGCCAACTCCGGCGAAATTGACGGCGGGCACCAAGGCCAATGCGGTCGTGGCATCCGGGCGACCTCCAAGGACCCCTCAATTGCAAGATTTGATGAAGATTTGCAAAACCCCCAATTTTGGATCCAATCTCGAATTTAAGGGTTTTTTCGAGTAGAAAAATTCAGATTCGAGAAGTTACAGGCCAAATTAGACAAAATGGTTTGGATATTATTGATCCTCGTCTCAAGACGAAGAGAATGACATTGGTCCCGCCGGAATCGGAAAAAGTTCATTTTCCGGCGACTTTGACCGGCGGGTGGCGGCGGCGGGGCGTGGAAGCAAAGAAAAGAAGAAATGAGGTCAAATTGAAAATTTTAAAATATATAAAATTTAAATTTGGCTCTAATGACCGGAAGTTAACCTAGAAACGGGCTAATGGCTCATTAGTGAAAGGATTGTGTAAGTTCAGGGATTTTTGTGAAAGGATTTGAAGTTCAGGTACCACTTCGAAATTCCAGCTAAAGTTCAGGTACCATTTGTGAAATTTACCCCACGAGTAGTATATGGTTGACATTCTACAAGAAAAGAAAAATAATACAGAGTAATACAAAGGCATCGGATTAATTAATTGTACGACTGATCATCTCGATTATTAATGACACAAGTTGACTTATATATGCTCCCTCCATTTTACTACGGAGTAATAATAAAATTCCAAGTAAACCCAAATTGACAATATAATTTCACATTTAAATAATTAAATAAGTAAATAGTGACGGAAATATCACATATTTTAACATTTAAAATATTACAATTATTCTAACTTACTTTTTTTTTACATTCACTCCATTCATTTTTATTAAAAATATTTTGATAAACTTTCAGTTTTTTTGAACTCTACTTATTAAAATTATAAAAAGCCAAAATAAGAATTATTTAGGAAGACGAATGAAGTATAAAATAAAGAGTATTATTATTATTACTATTATGATAAGAAGTGAGCTTCTCCGTGGGATCATTTTCTTTACTATTACCATTTATTACTAATACTACATGCACCCCGAATTAACATCCCAAGTTATTACTTAAGGTCATTGGATCAATTTATAATTTATAGAGAATTTTGTATAGTATAGTAAACTTTATTTTGAAATTTCGTACTATCATTTAAATAAATTTAATTAATTATTGTAATCCACAATGAGAGGATTAATTTGAAACTAAGGACGATCTTAAACGCTCATTTTCTTACACGTACGGTTAAGTGACCGAAGCTAGGATTGGTACCATATGTTTATTAAAAGTTAGAGGTGATGTTTTACCATATGTTAATTAAAAGTTTATTTGTTCATATTTAGGGCTTATTCTCTTTACGCGTTTTGAATAATTCTAATTTGATTGGAATCAGTTCTAATATGATCTAATTTGACCTTATTGTAGTTAAATTTAAAGATATTTTTTGATCTCACCTAATTTCCAAAAAGAATAAGCAACAATTTGTTGATGAAAACAAACTCTTAGTTGATGTAGAAACACCTTTTATGGGATATGATTATTCATTCATTTGTTCGTATTTATTAGGTTGGGTACAAGCTACTCTAATCTCTACAAGTTACTTGTTTAAGTAAATATAATGGTTCATACATGTATTTGATTATTACAAAGAAATTAAATGATAGTTCTAAAAAATCTATAAATCGATTCAAAATAATAATTACTTCAAGCTAGGGTTGGAAATTCTTAAGAATAAAAAATTGAAAGCGAAATTAAGGTTCATACCTTGTTAATTAAAGGCAAACAAGAATTTTTCCTGGATAGAGTTAAAAATTCGAAAATACCAAAATAAGAGTTTAAAGATAGTGTGGTATAAGAATATGTATTGGTAGTGTGGTGGAAATGTGATGAGAGTGTAATATATCAGTTCAATCAATGCGTTTTTACATTGTCACACTCACCACATTGTTACACCATACTTGCCACACTATGACTGTCATCTATCCCCGCTGGCCATCAGAGAATTGTCGTTGAGCACCGGCGGTGGAGTGATTACACTTCCATATGACATTGTTACCATTTTTTATTACACTGCCAATGTTACGGTTATGTTACATTGTCATTATCTTCATATTTTAGTCTTAAAAGACTTAGGACATCAATTTTAATTTTAAGAAAAGTGGGGGAATGGTCCCATGAAATTAGAACCTCCGGTTATGGGAAGACCCGGGGCCACTAGAGTGTCTAGTTTGGAAAATTGACGATTTCTATACCCTAACCCCCAGTAAAGCCCCTTGCTCCATCTCGACCCGAACACATCCCACCCCTTGAATTGCACTTTCCAAGTTTAACTATTTGATTTTGCAGTTAAATTTTTTACATGGATTCTAATGCATGTCATGGGAACCAGCCTTATTGAAAAATCACTCGAATAAAGGTAAAATATAGCATTTATTTTCAAAATAAGTATTTTATCTCACTGTATAATAGCATTTCAGTGTATGTATTTTTTGATACTTTTTCCCATATTCATATTTTAGTTCTTTTTTTTCCCTTTAATATTTTCATTCTTTTTTGCTATTGTTTAAGGAGATTTCTTAAATAAAATATTTTTTTCCACTTCTTGTTTTTAAATATTTTTGACATAACTTATAAATATATATTTTTTGGTTTTTATTTTTGTACCAAACTTCAAATAAAATAAATTACAAAAAATGAAATTTCAAGTTTGTTTGATATACAATGATTTGGAGAGGAGTTAATTTAATCCCATTTCCAAATATAAATTCAAATAGGGAGGCGTATAATAAAAGCGTCACCGTAAATTACACTATATAGGGAGTAGAGAGAGAGAGAGGGAGAGAGAATAGGAGTGTGCGTTCATTATTATTACTCCCGTATTATTATTATAGGGGTTAGATGGATGGATGCATGCCAGCTATGATGAAGGAAGGAAGGAAAGAATTAATTTTAGGAAAATGCTATGGCACACTAAAAGTGTACCCCAAACATCCCCACTCTCTCCATTACCACACAAAAAATGCAAAAAAAATCAAAAAAAAGTAAAAACTAAAAATAAAATAAAATAAATGGTAGAGAGGGAGGGTGGTGTACATGGTGTACCCCTAGTATATCCCTTAATTTTATAATGAAATATTTGTACCAAATAGCATTAACACTTAAGTCATTTCTCTAAATAGCACTTAGATTGTTTTCTTCTCTAAATAGCACGTAATAATGTCCAAAATGATCATTGATGACAAACATTAAGTGTTATATTGGAAAAAAAACATATGTAATCCTATTTAAAGAAAGTAATTATATTTTAGTGCTACTTACGTATAATTGCTCTCTGCTATTTCTCTCCCTCTCTCCTCAGGTCAAAGCTGCCACTTCTTCTCCCTTCTATAATCATCTATCTTCCCTTCCCTTTCTTCTTCTATTAATCCCTCCCCACTTCCCCACTCTCCACTTTCTCTTTTATTCCATTCCCCCTCTCTCTCTCTCATCCTCTCTGTTGCCCCTCCCATGCCATTGACATACATAGAGAGAGGGAGAGAGAGCTGACTGACCGGCGTTATTGTGGCGATGATGAAACTCTGATCTAAGGCAACTCATCTATTCGTTCATTCGAGAACAGTGCTTGGATCCCCTGTTTGATTGGTTCAGAAGGGCCGCCGGAGATTCATGTTCGATCCGTTGGCTGCTACAATGGCCGGATCTCCTTCTCTCGCCGCCGCCGCCGCCGATAAGAAGCACTGGTGGCTCACCAACAGAAAGGTATAGTATTAATGCCCCTCTCGTCCTGGCCGGAATTATTTCGCTATATTATCATTCCTTTTTTTTAAATTAAATAAAAAAATTACATGAAATGGAATTCGCGATTCTCGGATTTGAATCTGGATTGATTTTCGCGCAGGTCGTGGACAGGTATGTGAAGGACGCCAGAGCTCTGATTGCCACTCGGGAACAGAGCGAGATTGCTTCCGCTCTCAATCTCCTCGACTCCGCTCTCGCCTTTTCGCCCCGATTCGAACTGGCATTGGAATTGAAGGCTCGATCCCTGCTTTACCTCCGCCGATTCAAGGACGTCGCCGATATGCTGCAGGATTACATTCCCAGCGTCAAGATGGCCTCCGACGAGGCCTCTTCGGTTTCTCCGACGTCTTCCTCCGGATCGTCCGAAAACTCCTTTTCGCAGCTCTCGAGGGAGCGGCTCAAGCTTCTCTCCACCGGCTCCGGCGACGCGCCTGCTTTCCGGTGCTTCTCGCTCTCCGATTTGAAGAAGAAGGTCGTCGCAGGGCTCCACAGGAACTGCGAGAGCGGGGGGCAATGGAGGTAATTTTCGTCGATTTACCTTTATTACCAGTTCCCTCCCCATAACTAGTTTTTTTTACTGCTCTTCACTTTCGGACAGCCTGGCTTCCAGATTACGCAAATGCAGGGGGTTTTGTTTTAATTAACGAATAATGGTGTGATTTGATTAGTCAAAAAGGGACTCCGTATTTAATGGCATGTTTATATTGTTTGCCTAATTATTAACGAGTACAAGGACGGATTAATACTCCCTATTTAATATCAATAATTAATTCAAATTTGAGCAATTAGATTTTTTTAATGAAAATTTGAGTAATTAGATTTGATTGATTGACAATTTGGTGCGGCGAACATGACGATGATGATGATGATCTTCAGGTACTTGGTTTTGGGCCAGGCTTGTTGCCATTTGGGCCTAATGGAAGACGCTCTGGTTCTATTACAGACCGGAAAACGTATCGCCACCGATGCATTCCGGCGAGAGAGCATTTGTTTGTCCGACGACAGCTTTTCTTCCGCAAGGTTCCCACTCTCTAGAGATCAGCCGCGCCAAGACACTCCGACCACCGAATCAGAGAGCATTTCCCAGCTGCTCAGCCACATCAAGCTTCTCCTCCGCCGCAGGACGGCGGCAATGGCGGCCCTGAACGCCGGCCTCTACTCCGAGGCCATCCGACACTTCTCCAAGATCGTCGACGGGCGTCGTGGGGCCCCACAAGGGTTCCTTGCCGAGTGCTACCTCCACCGTGCCGCCGCCTACCGCTCCTCCGGCCGAATGGCGGAGGCCATAGCGGACTGTAACCGAACCCTAGCTTTGGACCCCTCATGCATTGACGCCCTCAGCACCAGGGCTGCTCTGTTCGAGCACATCCGGTGCCTCCCCGACAGCCTCCACGATCTCGAGCACCTAAAGCTCTTGTACAACTCGATGTTGCGTGACCGGAGACTGCCCGGTCCGGTCTGGAAGCGCCAGAATGCCCAGTACAGGGAAATCCCGGGAAGGCTCTGCTCATTGGCCACAAAGATCCAAGAATTGAAGAACCGGGTGGCCTCCGGCGAGACAGGGAATGTGGATTACTACGCCTTGATCGGGCTAAGAAGAGGCTGTTCGAGATCAGAATTGGAGAGAGCCCATTTGGTCCTCACCCTCAGGCATAAGCCCGACAAGTCGAGCAGTTTCATAGAGCGCTGCGAGTACACGGACGAGGGGGACGTGGAGTCCGTCCGGGAAAGGGCAAAAATGTCCTCGTTGTTGTTGTATAGGTTGATCCAGAAGGGCTACACTAGTCTAATGGCGGGGATCATAGAGGAAGAAGCCGCGGAGAAGCAGCGGAAGAAGAGTGCCGCTGCTACAGTGCAAGCCATGCAGAAGCTGCAAGAGGCGGCGGTGGTTCAGCAGCAAGAAATTCGTAATGAAGTGCCGCGGCCTCTGGGGAAGACGAAGCAGGCAATGTGCTGTCCGGAGTCATCGTCGTCGGTGTTCCAAGGGGTGTTCTGCAGAGACATTGCCATAGTTGGGAATCTACTGTCACAAGCGGGGTTCAATCGTCCACTTCCAATGAAATATGAGGCCTTGAGCTGCTGATTTTTTTTTAATTATTTATGTACTATATAAATATAAATATATATATTTTTTGAATTTCTGGCGGTGAGATAAGGTGAAGAAGAAGAAGAAGAATCTCTCAGCTCACACAATGGAAGCCAAGAGGCATATTATTAGGAGATGAAATGAATGTGTCCGTGAATTGTATTGTTTTGTTGTGTGATGTGTTTTGAATCAGATTCTTTGTAGGTAGGAAGGAACAAAAGGACTGCCAAACGACGTACAACAGCAGCAGCAGCAGGCCAAAATTTCTTCACCTTTTACCGCCCAGAAATTTTTTGTTAATTACTTCGTACTTTGTACGCCATGCCACAGTAGAATCTTTCTGCTGTAACTTTTCTTCTTCTTCTTCTTTTAATCCCCCCCTCCCTCCCTCCCTTTTGGTTTGGTGTTTGTACATAGTAAATTCATCATCCCCAAGTTTCCCAATGTCAAAATATCTTTCTTTTGTCAGTTTCTTTGTTTGGTTTGAAAAAATAAAAAATACTCCCTAGAAGAAGAGAGGTGGTGGTGGAAATTGAATGAGGGGAGCAAATTAAAGTATTAGCTAGGAAGGAAGACAATATTAATGGGAAACACAGGGAAGCGATGATGGATGGTAGTTTCTTTTGGTAAATTATTATTATTATCCACCCCCCCCCCCCTTTTTTTAAAAAAATTATCAATGCATCTCAGAGGTGGGTGACCCTACCTGCTACAGTTTCTTTAATGTCATTGGAATTTGGAAGTAGGGGTAGTGGGTCGGATAAATTTGAAATAACCCATCCAATATCGCCTAAAAAATTAATCCAACCGGAAAAATTGAATACCACATATAAATAAAACCGAATCAAATCGGTCTTGGACTTTGAAAACCGATCTAAACCATTTTTAACTTAAATCTACTACTCCCTCCGTCTCCCTGTATTTATCCACATTTGATTTTTAGAACTGTTCATCTAATCACTTTGACTCATCAAATTCTCTCAATGTGTAAGTCTAAATATAGTCATGTGTGATCTTGTTTGATTTGTCTTAACATATAGATTATTAATATATAATTTTTATAATTTTTTAATATACAAATTACAAGATAAAATGGATTAGAGAAGTGCATTGGATGATGTGTAAAAATGAAAATGGACAAATACAGGGGGACAGATGGAGTAATATTCTCTCCGTTTTTACTAAGAAGAAATAAATTAAAATTGAATTACAATAAATGACAGAAATCAAATTCGAGTCTATCCCTTAGTATTATTGAATGAAGAATATTTTATTTTTTTGAAACGTGTGTGTGGTGTGGCAGCTTAGCATAGCATGCATGGTAAAAAGGATGAATGACAAGTTCTTGTCTCATTATTACAGTACATAATTTGAATAGAGATAGAAACAAATTGGAACGATATGTGATTACACAATACTATCCTCTCTTATGAATATCGCTTCCTAATTAACCTCTGAAATTTTATCATTTTTAAAATTATTTTAAAAATAATTTTGTATAAAAATTAAAAGTATGAATTTGTATAATTTGAATATCATTAATACACACACACATCCTCCGTCAGTTAAGATCTTCTTATTACGCGTTACAAAGCTTGATTTATTTTAATTTAAATTCAATTTAATTGATTATAATTAATAGTAAAATTTAAAAAGTTAAATTTTTATAATAAAAAATTGCATAAAAATCCTTCAAAAAATCGTAAAAACTAAAAGTGACATGATTATAATATTTTATGAAATAAGTAGTAAAAATAAGTAGACATATAATATCCGAAAAAATCTATCATAAACGAAGAGAGTGGAAATTTTTTGTACAAAACTTTGTGATGTGGATGGGACGATGGGAGTGAGGAGGAGAGGAATTGTAGCCAGCACATTTGCAGCGATATAAGAGACACAACCAGCTCCATCTAATTACTGCATGCTTTCCTATTCATTCACTGTTTATTTATTCAATTCATGTCCTATTAATCGTTTTTCTTTTTGGCAAATGGTGGGAGAATCCCATTTAGTGTATATAAAATATATGCAAAAAAATAAGTATATACATGACGCTTAATTCTGTGCACGTATAAACATTGAATGTCTGTGTGTTCCTATTTTTGTATTACTCCGTAGTATATAGTCCCTCTGTTCCCAATTTGATTACAAATTGGGGTTTACGAAGAGAAATATCTCACTTTTTGAAATCATTTTATTTACAAATCAGTATATCAATAAGAAATAAAAATTACATATTAAAAACTACGTCAAAAATGACAAGAATATTTTATTTCTTTAAATAAAACATGTTATGTAAACGAGTATGATGTGGTGTGATAAAAATATGCTCCGTATGTATTATGGTGGATGCGAAGGAAAGTGATGAGGTGAAAGTATGTATCAAATTTTGATTAGTTGAAATATTAAAAAAATTAAAGAGAAAGAAGAAGGGCCATCACTCCCGATGGGTATCACTTGCATTGGGCCAACGCCCCTTCATCGTAAGGGCAGTGAAAATGCGTTTGAAGCCTGGCTTTTGGACCTTCTTTATCTGTTACATCAACTTTAACTCTCCTTTAACATACCTAACAGTTTTGCTGGAAATAGTTTTGAAGTCCAGAGTTTCAAGCCTTTTCTTATTCATTTGTAACGCATTTTGTAAAAAAAATTAATAAGATTTTATTAATTAATTAAGTTTAAGCCACAATTATTCATCAAATAAAAAGTTACATTTAATAAAAAATACAACAAATTTTAAAAAAGTCTATATTATTAAAAAAATTCAATAATAACAACATAAATAAAAAATACATTACTTGAACGATGAAAAATAACTTAAAAATTACATTAATGATTAGTTGAGTGACTAAAAATATGTTTAATCAAATCAGCCTTTAGTGCATTGTGAATCACTTGGCTTCGAATTTCTTCGAGATTTCTTCGTTTCTTTTCTTCGTCGATTTCTTCGTAGGTACGCACCTCCTCGTTCAGATTATACTTAATGACAAATTGTAAACATGTTGTCCTCTATAATCATATTATGAAAAATATATAATACATGCACACATGATATTCATCATGCAGACCCGTTCTTCGATTTTGTTTCTTGTCGCCTCAAGAGCTTTTTTGTACGTCATCCGTTTAAGATCGATTGGTTTCGAAGTGACCTCACAATTGTGGAATAATCTAGATATATATTCTATTGACATGATAATATCCACACTTGTAAAGCATTTCTCTAAGCTCAAAAGACAACGAGTTGGGTGCAGTCTCATTAATCCAATCGCCAAATACGAGCGATCGATCAAGAATAATGATGTCATTGTTCAAGCTTGCAACACAAAAAAAGAATGCTAAAACAATATGTTATTTGAAGTCACGGCTTCGAGAATAATAGTAGGTTTGAGATGATCAAATCGGGAGAAGTGGCCATGTCACGCAGTGGGATAGTTTTTCCATTCCCAATGCGTGTAATCGATACTTCCAAGCATGCCGACAAAGCCGTATTTAGTTGCATGTCTCACCTGCAACTGCTCAATGCTGCTCGTCATCGGCTTACGAAATACCTATTACGATACATTCAAATAATAGCTTTAGCGGATTTATAGACACGTGACCCGATGTTTCGAGTTATCATCTTCAAGTTTACATCGAATATATCACTAGTGGTTCTGTACGCAATCTGATGAAGCATAGCAGTGCACTTTTGAACGCTCCTAAAATCGCGTTGGCCTCTCGCATCAAATCGTTGGGTGAAATAAGGCACCTCGCGTTCAATATCGGCGCGTGAATATTCGTGAAAACACAAAAACGGCTCATCAGAAAATGCTTACTTAAATCCTTCGGTGTGTAAACACACAAAGTATTGAGGTAGTCGTTGAGTAGTGCTTTGTGTGTAGCTGCCTGATCTCGGTTTAAATGCTCACGTCAGGTCAAGCACATTGATGATTTCGCTTCCTCTTGTTGTGGTTGTTGCCACCTTTAGTGTCGTCCTGTTGTGAAAGAACGAAACATGTGAGCTGTTCTCTCTTCGTTCGATGATCGAAGATGATCCCTTTTTTCAAAAAAAATATAGGATATTTCTTGGGTGGATTGTAAAGAGAATTGAGAATATAGAATATTGTTTAAATGAGTTGTAGAGAGAATGGGTGTATGTTTGATTTTGGATTGTTGTGGGGCAACAACTAACTTCTTCCTCTTTGTTTCTTGCGTGAAATGATTAATGCAATACTGATGACCTCGTGATAACAACGGAGGGGACGGTGTTTATCTCCCTAAAGGTGTTAAACACCCGATGACGTAGGGTGCATTATATTACGCCCGTATCCAACGCTCTAAGTGTGTAATGGATGAGGGGCGTGAGTGAGGGTGGTCAAGTCCATCCTCACGCCCCATAATAACACAAGGCCTAATAAAGGGATTTGTTGTTGTCTTATTACTATGGGTTTAGTGGGTTGGAAGTAGGGTTAGTTTTGGGTGTGGTGATTAGGATTTTGATGTTTCCACTTTCCCAGCTCATCAATAACCTTTTTTACACTGTGTACCACCTAGCTAGCTCCCTGGGTGAGAGCTACGTTTCTTCTTTTTTTTTTTCATTTATTCAAAAAATTTATCAGAATGAATAAATGAAAAAAAATACTCCGTACATGCATGGTTGATGAGTGTCTCCCATATGAATCACATGCATCTTTTGAGTAGTAGTAATTCAATTCCAATATACGGAGTAATATGTAGACGATAAACATGGTTGAGTCTTCTCCAACCTGTACTTATGAAAAATATGAAGTAAATAAAGTTTCTACATAATGTCGGATTCTAATAATATAGAAAGGAATGGAAAATATGAAGGAAATAAATGAAAATCTATTAATAAAGAAACTCAAAATCTTAGTTGTGTTTGGTTAGAATGAAATTGCTCAATAAAATTGCTTTCCATTTTGTTTGAATTGGTTGGGAGAAAGAAAACCAAACAAACTTCATTTTGAATAACAAAAAAACTCTTTCTCACTTTTCTTTTCACTTCATTTTTCTTTTACTCCCGAACCACATGCTAATCTTTCATTTTATTTTCTTCACTTTTCCTTCTCAAAGTCCACAAACTAAACTAAGTGTAAACATCCTGGTCGCAATTTCTTTCTTACTTTTTATTGACGACTTAAATTATCTTTTTGGGTGGGGGAGGACCGCCCGCATGGTCCAATGAAAAAATGTCTAACCTGAGATCTTATGATCGAATCTCAACGGCAGTGGTGTGGGCGTCCTATTCTTGATAATAACTTCTTGTGTGTATTGGCACATGACATTGGTGACAACCTTTCAAAGAATCGAGTGTGTGGGCGGTCGGGGTGAGCGTTCCACCTTTTCCTTTGGGTGAGGTAGGATGACAAGATGGGTGCATCATAGGATTCCTAGGAGTGAGGGGGCAACCAAGGTGGAGGGCGCATAGATGATAGAACTGCATGCCTGGCTGCAATAAAGGGCAGTCTGGGAAAAATCCAGAAATTCATCAGTGACGTGACGTCTAATTATTGTTGTTTTTAAGTTTGAATTGCATTGCATTGGATTTTTCTCCTTTACTTGCCCCATTTTATAAATTAATACGGAGTACAATGCAATATTCTCGATTTTACTTTTATGGAGTTTCAAATGATTTTATTCAAATGAGTTCATCGTTCCTATACCTAACAAGCCAAATACTTTCAGTATCCTAAAGTATGCTTATTTTATAATTTATAGACAATAGTGCATTAATATCATAAAAAATACGAGTCTTTTACAAAAAGATCTAAAAAGTATGAAAAAGTTCAAATTTCACATTTGATCTTTAGAACCACGAAAGCAACTCATTTTTTAGACACTAAAATGTGTAAGCATGAAGTAGTAAACGGAAGAGAAAAAAAAACTAAAGTAGGAGTAAAACATTTAAAATATACCGAAATAGAATTCTATGTTTTTATTTTCGACATAAAAGTTAAAATGTCACATTAACACAGTACAAATTACTATTTTAGAAATAAAAACATATAACTTCTATTTTAGTATTTTTTCTCATTTTTTTTACTTCTATTTAGAGTGATTTCTCCAAACAAAAAATCACCTTTGACACGTGCGTGAATAACACGACATAAACTTCTTTTAATGATAGTGACAGCATTATTTTTGTAATACAGGTACAAATGTAGTTTAAAAAAATACTTCCTCCGTCCCTCTGTATTTGTCCACATTTGACTTTTGAAACTGTTCATCTAAGCACTTTGACTCATCAAATTATCTGAATGTGTAAGCCTAAATATAGTCATGTGTGATCTTGTTTGATTTGTCTTAACATATAGAATATTAATATATAATTTTTATAATTTTTTAATATACAAATTACAAGATAAAATGGATTAAAGAAGTGCATTGGATGATGTGTAAAAATGAAAGTGGACAAATACAGGGGAACGGAGGGAGTATGTAAAATATACCGTAGTAAAATACGAATCACTAAATATATTTTTTTGTGAACGAAAACATGCATAATTGAGATTAACTTTTGTGAGAGTGGTATTGCCTAAAATCTTGGTCCAATTATAATGGGCTACGAAGCCCAAAGAGTTTCCAATTAATAAATTGGGCTTCATCTTATTAGTACTGTGTGGGTACAAACTGTTCATCTGGATGGAAGGTTCTGGAATCCACCAACCCCAACAACTCCGTCTCTGCTTTCAACGGGTGGAATCAATTTCCGGTCTCTCACGAGCAGGCGGCAAATCTAGCCCAGGATATTAATTTCCGATTGAAAATCTCACCGCCTTCAGGTTTTCCGGCGAATTCTCGCAGTCGACGACAGAGGGATGGGGTGGATGACCAGATTCCTCACCGCCGTCGCTTTCTTAGCGATGGGAGTAGTGTTTTCGCCGGAAACCTTCGGGTCAAAATCAGACGGTCAACGCCCTCTCGCGTTTCTGAAATTGGCGCACCTGCTGTGCTTCTCCACCGCGTGGGGCGCCGCTCTATGGGTCACCTTCATCGGCGGCATCATCATGTTCAAGTAATCCATCCTCCTCCACATATCGTTTTCTCATTGTAATAATTCATTTTGGTTGGTTTTGTTTGAATGAAATTTGGACTGCAGGAATCTTCCGAGGCATCAGTTCGGGAATCTGCAGAGCAAGATGTTCCCGGCGTACTTCTCTTTGGTCGGAGTTTGCTGCGCCGGATCAGTGGCTGCTTTCGGCTACTTGCATCCATGGAAGACCTCGAGCAGTGCAGAAAAGTATCAGATTGGTTTCATCCTCGGTGCATTCGCATTCAACCTCAGCAATCTTTTCTTCTTCACTCCCATGACTATTAAGGTACTCCCACTAATAAATGATTGAAACTTCTTTCTTTGGTAGGGAGTACTAATATATATCACTATGTGATTGAGTGTTTTATTGCAAATCATTCTGAATTTGCCAACGAGACATGAACAACTTCATCTTGATTGGATATATATAACTCTGCATCTTCCTTCCTTTCACCAGTGCTCTTATGACCAAAGTAATGGAATACTGTCACTTGCTTTCTTTTTGTGCCAAATGGGTTGGCCCAAAATCATAAATCGAGTCTTTTTTGCTCTTTTCTCAACACTGTAATAGCTAACCTGCTACTGAAAAATTTGATTTCTTGATTCATGAAGTATGAATTCATGGAAGCTACTGAAAAATTTGAATTCTTGATTCATGAAGTATGAATTCATGGAAGCTATAGATGCTTTTGGCTTGTGTTTGAATGATTTCTATGGCTAGAAGCTATAAAACTAATGTTTCATGAAGAGAACAAGAACCAATTGACAATACCAACCAGAGCAAACCCAGTAAAATACCATGGAAGTAGGGTCGAGGGTGTGTGCATGTAGACCTTACCCTAATATATAGTACCTCCTCTGTCCCCCTCTATTTGTCCACATTTGACTTTTGGAACTGTTCATTTAAGCACTTTGACTCATTAAATTCTCTCAATGTGTAAGCCTAAATATAGTCATGTGTGATCTTGTTTGATTTGTCTTGACATATAGATTATTAATATATAATTTTTATAATTTTTTAATATACAAATTACAAGATAAAATGGATTAAAGAAGTGCATTGGATGATGTGCAAAAATGAAAGTGGACAAATACAGGGGGGCGGAGGGAGTATAAATCATGTTTCTCATAAGAAACCCAACTCGGAGATAGAAGTGCAATTAGCAAAGAAACTATCGAATAAGGAAGAACTAATTGACTTGTTAGTTTATTTCAAGACAAAGATAATTCACTGGTTATTGATTGTGGGTGAGATGTAAAAAATGTGCAGATGATGAAGGAAAGGCACAAAATTGAGAGAGAGGCAAACATTGGAGAAGAAGTTGGGTGGACAAAGAACCAAGAGGTTGCAAAGGTCAACCCAAAGCTTGCTGCCATGAACAAGAAGTTCGGCATGATTCACGGTCTCTCTTCTCTTGCCAATATCATGTCTTTTGGTTGCCTTGCCATGCACTCTTGGTATTTAGCTGCAAAAATTGATCTTTAGATTCTTCTTGTGCTGCTACTGCTGCTTCATATATACTATATATTTATTGTAACAATAATCCGTTTGCCGGATATTCATAGATAAGATATACTCCGTATAATCCAAACATTATGCTTTGGTTAAGAATGCACAAGTTGGAGTATCCTATTGGCATTTGCATAAACACTTCAGCATGAAATGCTTTGTTCATTAGGAATATTTGGTACCTTGTGACATTATTTGTTCCTATAGATGAGCTAGTGGTTCTAATTAGTGTCCGTACACTTTCTTTTAGAGCTAGCATTATATCCCTTGTTGGATGACAGAGATAAAAGAGAAAAAATTTGAAAAGAACGGTAGTTTTTTTTAAAAAATAAATCTATTTTTAAACTTTACTTTAATTTTTTTCTCTGAACGTATTTCAAAAATGAGTTGCATTTTAAAAGTAACAACCTTTTCTCTCATACCAAACGATGTACAAAACCCATCTTTGTTCTTCTCTTTTTCTTTCTTATCACAATCTTCTAGCTTTCTTCACTAGTTATCTTCTAAGCCAAACAAAGCACAATATTCAGTGTTTTTTCATTGTCTCATTAAAAAGAATGAATACAATTTCACAAGTTGCTTTTGTGGGGTTCTAATGAGTTGTTCAATACAATTTATGCACATACCTTCCATACAAAGAATCGTGTTTACATACAAAAGAATGGTGTACTCCCCCTTCTGAAACCCAGAGGACATCTTATCCTTCAAGAACCAAACGAATAACGAATGGTCCAATCAATCCACATTCCTTTCTACACACCGCGACTAAAAGCTTCTGCAATCAATGACGAGTAACCGTGCAGGAAGCAAAGGCACCACAAGCAAATGCATGTGCTGGGAAGCAACGAGCCTGCTGAACCGTTTTACAGACTCTTTTCCCGTCCTCAACATCCCGTAAAAATTAACCCGTCTTTCAACCATCTTATCAGATGATGATGATGATGATAATGGTGCCCTTACAACGTTAAATCTGTCTGCTTCTCCACCAAAAGGCCACCAAACTCTCATGTGTTCCTTCCTGCATTCCCTAATGCGGTTCAGTTCTTGATGAATGACTCCCCTGATGGATTTCAAGTATGAGTTCATGTCATGATCTCGTTGCACTGTTCCCCCGTAACCATATGCCGCCCTCTCACATAGTATCTCAAGCGGGTGTGGTGAGTTCAAAAACACAGCTTGAGCCCTTCGGATTTGCTTCTCTGCCTTGCTGGCATTGCCACCTGTTGCACAACTTAATAAATACAGACCAGCCCCTGCAGGTAGGAGGTGGTGGCTCGGGGAAAATTCTTCATCTGGCTGGAGGATAAAAACCTCTCCCATTGGAGCATACAACAGTTTCTGGTAACATGAAAATCACAGGATAAAAATGGGGTTTTTAGCAAAGTATATGCCAAGAGTCAATATGTTCCAATAGAGAAAAATGCCTAAGGATTTCTATTTTCTACCTGGTTATTCAGGCATGGATGGTTGCGGAAGTTAGAATTGACAGCTTTAAGAAGCTCTGCAATATGATTGGGGTATTTGCAAGAGAAGGCTCGGGGCACAATGTCCCGATGCAATGTGATTGATTGGACATGGCTTTGAGGCAATCCGAGTTTTCTTAAGAGGTGGTCTCCTCTGCACATAACCGCTGGTGAACCAAAAGTTATGACAGGAAGTAAAGAGTAAACTGGAACTTCACCTCTTATCAGCAGCATAAGGTTTAAAAGTAATGATAAACTTCCACCAAGCGAATGTCCAGTGAAACGGAATTTGGCACGTTTGCCTCTGGATTTAATGTGTGCACGCACTTCTGGCAGAATTTGCTCATACATTCCTTTAGCAGCCTCATAAATACCTCTGTGCACCGGCACATCTAGACCCTGACCAATGAACACAACAACAAACTCACAAAATTCCCACAAAATGTAGGGTCTGGGAGAGTGTGTACGCAGATCTTACCCCTACTTACTCTCATATCATTTCTTATGGATTCAGCCCATTAGGTCCGTCCGACCAACATCTCTGTTGGCCAAGGCGAATCCCAACTCTTGGTATCTGAAGTTACTGTTTTTATTGAAATTAGAAAGTGTAAGACATTCATTCTTGATGTGCAAACTTTAGCTTCATTTTGTGTCCTTATACAAAATGGATGTTACCAAACACTTACGCAAGTAATGAATATGCTAAATAGGGCGCGTATTAATTTGCATCATAATTACCTCAAATGGAGCAGGTTCAAAGAGAAGATTTGCTTGCCAAGATTCGAGCGTCTCAGAGCCCTGAATGACAAAAAATCTCGTCGCACTTTGATCATCATCACAAGCAAACCACTCACATGGTGATGAACGTCTGGAGTTAAGATCATCTGCAACAGCCTGCTTCACTTCCTCCTTTGCAGCCACTACAGACGTCACCGACTCAGTAGTGGCCACAAACGAAGCTACTTCTTCCACATTCACCACATCTGTATTCCCAATGGACCTCCTCTCAAGCTCATCTATATCTGGCCGAGAAGAGTTGAACGGTAGAAAGCTGGATGTATGGGAATATAAGTATGAAGCTGCCCTGTAAACAGCAGATGCCCGAATCCCATTCCCACCATTTTCTTTCAGATTCATTCCATTCTCCCCTTTAGCCTCATTGACTACAGCAACATCATTCTCCTTTTTAAGTTTATCTTCTTTCGCTACTTCCCTCACATTCTCAGCTTCTTTTGCCTGCTGTTTCTTCTTCGACGATGAGGTGATGAAGCGCAACCCGTGACACCTTAGAAGATTTCCAGGCTGCAAATTGAAAAAGCAAAGCCTTTATGGAGTGCAAGATAGCGGCTAGAAAAAGGTATACAAATTTCGAATTTGTGCTGATTTTTTTGGAATCTAAACAACCCTAGCATCATTAATTAATACGGAGTATTTAAAAACAAACCTTGATCTGGGCAACGGAATAAGCCAAATTTCCCAGATTTGCCATTCGAGCATACAATCTAGCATCCCTAAGTGACACCCGGCGTAGAAGTTTGGAGAAGGAATCCCTGTTGAATCCTACATCGGCATCCTCTTCGTCATCAACCGGGCAGACATCGCGATCTTCTTCATCTGCGAAACCACTTCCGCTTTGAAATTCAGCATCAGGTTTGCCAAATCCGCCGTCAGGTTTTGCTTCCTCCTTTTCCGTGCGCGGAGATCCCAGACGGAGGAACCTCGCGGCCCAATTTCCGCTCGGCCCGGCATCTCTGGCGACCGAGACTGAGCCGTCGACCGAAACGGCGTCGCAGCGGGTTCTGGGCCACAGGGATTTACGCGAATGCCAGTGTGAGGAGGAGGGCTCGTCCACGGACAGGGGCGTCGAAGCCCGCCGGACAGCGGAGGGACCAACATGGGACGGAAGAGTGGTGCGGGATTCCAATCCGGCAGCAACTCCTGCGGCCGGCGGGGAAATTCCCTGAATCCCCGACTTCAAACAGAGAGTATCCATTGCCAGAATTTTACAATGTGAAGCTTTCAACACTTTTGCTGGTTGAGTTACAATGGCGTAGAGAAGAGATGGAGCTGAGTGCACCTTAACACGTAGCATACGCAAGTAGGGACCAAACGACCTCTCTCTCAAGTCTTCATCTTTCCCCAACTTTGCTTTAACCAATAAACCACATCCTTTTTTTTATTTTTTTACTCCCTCAGTCCCAAATTATTTGCCACTGCTTTTTCAACAATCGCGGAAACTTTTGTTTATTTCTACGTTTTCATTAGTTGTTTGATAAAATAAAATATTCTTGACACCTTTTATTTCGAAGAACTTTTCATGTAATTTTTTGATATGTAATTTTTATTTTTTATTTCTTTACCAATATGTAAATAAAATGAATTGAAAAAACTTAATATTTTGTCTCAGTAATAGAAATGTGACAAATAATTTGGGAGTAAAGTATAAATCTATTGCTCAAGTATAAATCTATTTTAACACGTAGAATTAAAATTTGAAACGTCATGCGATGCAAACACATGGTAGAAAATGTTTTAAAAAAAGCTCCGTATAATTATTTTTTATGGATTGGAAATATACAAACTCCAGCAATTCTTCTACATTAATGAACAAATAACAATTATGCTTTTGGTACAAGATGTAGTAGCAGGCATCAAAGGACCCTCACGTCGCAACACTTACACGGGCAAGAAACCCGTCTCTATCCTGGCAAGTTAATATTTGTTCTAACAAAAAAGTGTAAAACAATGTATATAATGACGAGAGCCATGAAAATTGATGGACTTCTGACTAGTAGAAATGGAATTCGGACCAAATTATGCTGCAGCTTTTTTTCTTCCACGGTGGAGGAGATTCGTTTAGGCGGGGCTTTCGACAAACACAAAAATGAAAGGGGAGAAAAAGGAATTGATGTGGGCATGCTCCTAACCGAGAATGTCCTTAATTTTAGTCTTCTGGTCCGGCGTCAATGATTTGGGGAAGAGAACCTCAAAAGTGACATACAGATCACCCTTCTTGTTGCTAAAATGAAGTGGCATGCCTTCTCCCTTGTACTTTTTGACCTCTTTTGGCTTGGTGATCCCCTAAACACAACCAGACAGACATTTGTCAGCCAATTTTTACATTTATTTACTACCACTTCTCAGATTGATAAACCTTTGAGAGCTGGAGACATCTAACCTTTGAGCTAATGTCCACAAGATGATCATCAAGGTGTTTAATCGTCTTTTCAAACCCGACAAGAGCTTGAACCTGGATATTGCCAAGAAATCATCACTTCAGTATACAGGAGGCATAAGAACATAGGCCTCATGGAACAGAAGATTATTAACCGCAAACTACACTACAACATGTGTTATATGAGCATCATGTTTCTTTGAAAGTTTTGTAATAACACAACGGAAAATGGAACACAAGCATACCAGAGTGATAGTGACAGTAGTGTGAAGGTCGTCGCCTTGTCTCTTGAATTTATCATGAGGAGCTGTTCGAATGCGAAACTGTGTCCCCATGAATAAAAAAAATGAAAAGAAAAACCAAATGAGAGCCAGTACATATTAGAGAAAGTGCAGCACCAGATATGAACTACGGATAAAAATCCAACCTTAAGGTCTCCAGCTTCACCATCTATTTTAGGTTCGCCGTCTTCATAAAAGACCACTTCCTGTAAAAACCATGCATGCATATTATTCCTGCCATACGAATAAACAGAACTGTATTTTTTCTATAAAAAATGCTTACTTGCCCATCTTGCATTCCCTTTTCTATATCCACAGTAACATAATAGCCTTCCCTTTCAAACTTCACATTGGGGCATTGATCACAGACCTAGAAGGATGCAGTGTAAAACTTAGTAACAGCATTAAAGCTTTCTCAAGTATAAAACGAGTTGTCACAGATACAGATATCTATGCAGCACCACAAAGGGCCAGATAAAGGTATCACAGACAACAAAGATACCTAGGATTACCTACAGTTTTTTAACCTCGTGTTGTGTCATCCTCCTCACTCCTCGGAATAATATTTACTCAATTTGGTAAATGGCATTAGTCATATTGAAAATTTACCTGCTCAGTCATCTGCTGGAACATCCCTGGGCCAATTTGCCTGTGATAAACCTCATTGCGGCAGTTACACCGTCTCTTTCCAGGAGCTGGCTTTAGAACATTCTTCTCCCTCCAAACCTGTTTGGTTCCAGGAAGAAATATATAAAACTCTAAATGCAATTGAGTTAAACAACTAAACCCATTATGCATGATAGTGTAGCCCAAAGGTCTTCAAGAAGAAAGTTAGCCTGTAAATTGTAGAAGAATTCTCTCTAACAATCTAGAACTCTAAGCAGCAAAATTAATCCACTTGTACACTGAGCCATACATTATAAAAGACTGTATACAAGATCAAGTACGACATGATATAGTATGGAGTATAGATATCATCTAAAATCCATACCTTCAATGTGCCACCCATGTATAAATCTTCGAGTGATGCATCCAACTCAATAATTACATCATCACCTTTAACAACTTTCTCTTCCTCCTCTGCACCGCCTCCTCCAAAAAAACTATAATAATCCTCATTAGGAATAGCATATTACCTCAAACGAAGATAGATGATGCAAAGTAACATAAAAGAGTTCAATAATATGCCGGAGCATTGAAAGACAGATCATAATATGATAATTCCGAGAACTCATTAGTAACAATCATAAAGCTTATGCAGCCCAGACTGAGCTCTAAGAAATAAACATCAGCTTAAGAACTTGCAACACCAATTTTCTCTGCTATACCAGACAAAAAGCTCCTATATGCTTATGATTTTTCCTAACATCTAAATTAAAGGTACATTAGTACATTTGCTCGATTAAATATTATTATTCAATGTTTTGAAAGATGATGGAACAAATCAATTCTCAGCACCTTTATAGTGGTTGCCTACCATCAAATTTACAAACTTATATTTCATACCACATAAATTTAAACTCCCTCCCATTCTCAAAATAATGTTAGGCTCATTGTCCATCTCAAACCCAATCCAGTAGTAAACTTTTTGAGCATTAAACTAAGAAGTAGTCAATTTTCAATTGCTAAGAAAATAATGTGATCAGTTCTGAGCTGCAAATATGCAACCATAGTGAGTGACTTAAGATACAAATTGGTTTGATTCTTAATTCCCTGACAGGATAGAGATGTGTTCAAGTACCTGTTTTACCTTAAGGCTATGTTTATTGTCCCTCCAAGACCCTACTCTAGTGGGACTCAACTGGGTTGTTGTTGTTACTATATTGATTGTAGGAAGTACTAAACGAGTTACATGTAAGAAGTTTAATCTATATGATGCATTAGTTTTTTTAAATAATGCATGACAAATTATCCACGTGGCTCTACAGATATCATGATTTAAGTGTTGTGTTATCCATTTAAAATATTTAAGAGGGGAGTATTCTGATTTCATGGTAATGAGAGTAAGAAAACATACAAAGGAATATGAAGATATGTTCAGGAACTAAAAGATGTAACATCTCCGTCCATACCAAATTCATGTAACGCTTTAAATTGACAAGTTTAAGAAAACGTGTGGTTGAAATTTGTTAAAAAATGAGATATGGTGTGAGGTACACATTCATTTCTAAAATAGGTAAGTAAGAAAGTGTGAACTTTATTTTGGGACCACCCAAATGGGAAAGTGTTACTTTTATTTTGGGATGGAGGAATTATTAGATTTGTTGAGAAACCCCAATGTTGCAATGATAATCTAATACTAAGTAATAGCTAAGAAAGACAAGAATCAAGAAGCATCAGCTTAAACAACATCATTTTCTTCCATTATCTTTTCTAATCTCAAATAAACAAATTCTGCCCATAAATTCTTATGCTACGTAACAAGCCTAATGTACATTAGTACATCTAATTCTAATTTGTGTGGCTTCCTTCTTTTGCTTGGCAACTCCAAAAACTAGTGCCCAAAATGGACTAACATTGAGGATTGAAATAAAAATCTTCGCTGAAATAATGAACATGTGAAATTCAGAATGAATAGGTTCCACTTACGAGCTAAATATGTCTTGGATGTTCATCCCGGCACCTCTGCCTCCACCACTTGCAGCATGCTGTTTAAGGCCCTCCTCTCCATACCTATCGTAAATATTCTTCTTTTCACTGTCTGACAAGACTTCATAAGCTGATAATGAAAGACACTAATCAACTAGCAGTTCAAACCACAGGTCCTAAAAACTGTACACACAAAACAAATGCCTAAACTCGGGAATATACGACAGATCAATAACAAGCTTCTCCTGTTAAGCTCACCACCATACCATTGTTTATTTCCGCAAATTTCTTATTTGCCTCCTCATTTCCTTGGTTCTTGTCGGGATGATACTTCAGAGCCAACTTGCGATACGCGCGTTTGATCTGATCCTCGGAAGCACCTTTAGGGACTTGCAGAATGTCGTAATAACTCTTACTGAAAATCCAAAACAAAACAAAAAAAAATTACTGGACACTGACCTAAACAAGCTAGCGAACACGCATTGCACGAGTGCGTAGAAATGAAGAGACCACTTACGATGCAATTACTATAAGCGAGTACGCCAAACCTAATAACAAGATCAGTAATTTTGATCCTCGATGCGCCATGGCTGCTTTGGCACACAGATCAAAACCCGAAACTGGCGAATATCGATCTCTACCGGCGCAGAAAAATCTAGGGTTCGGAATCAGATCTGAGGAGAATGTAGAACGAGCGCCGACGGCGATCAATTCGTATCAGTTTAGCTCCTGCTGATCTCTCTGGGAATGAATAAAAATGGCGTCTCTCTCCCGGCTCATCGGACGTTTGGACGACGTCACCAACGCGGGCTTTCCTCTTCACTTTTTTGCAACGTAGCCTTGCGCATCATCACTGGCCAATCAGGGCGGGTTCCAACCTGTTTCTACCAATAGGGACATGCCACGTGGCTAACAGCCCCTTTCGTTTCCTTTGAGGTTGGATTGAGGAAATCGTAGGCCCATGTTTGAAGCTTCTTTCTCTCGACAGCCCACTGAAATAAAATGCGCGGCCCATTTAAAATCTACTCCCTCCGTCCACAAATAAACTTCTTGTTCACTATTCACAGGGTCAAACTTTATTTACAGCATATTTTCATCACCTATTTGATAAAATAATATAGTCATGTCACCTCTAGTTTCGTAGATCTTTTGACATAGTTTTTTAATATGTAATTTTTATTTTCAAATTTTACACCATTTTTCATATAAAATGATTTGAAAATAACTTCAGTCAAACATCGTAACACGCAATGAGAAGTTTATTTGTATACGGAGGGAGTATTTGGTTTAAAAAATACTTCTTCCATCCTAATTTAAACTGCCCATTTCGAATTATAATACTCCTTATTTGATTAAAATTATTTTCTATTAAATTTTTATGATAATAATGTGTAACGCCCCAAAACATACCCTAGAATTATTAATGAATAAATAATCAATTAATCAAATTTGTTTTGATTAAAATAAATTATTATTGGGCTTTGGGCCGATATGAAATGTGTTTTGACATCCAATATCAAAATCTGGATAAGTCTCATAGAGATAAATCCAATATGTGGACTATTTGTGTGGTCTTGATTGGAAACCTAAATACAGACCCAAATCAAGAGTAAATAAAAAATTTGTTTAGAATGTAAATATTGAAATGATTTGTTAAAATAAATCATGAGAATAATTGATATGAATTAAATGAGAAAACCTTTTATGAGAAAGGTCAATTAAACCAATTTTAACTCTATCAAAGTCAACCACCCAAAAATATGATGTCGGAACAAGTGATACAAATAAATACAAAAATTATATAGTTGGATAGAGTTTAACTATCTGATCGCAACGGTGCAAACGAAATTCAATTCGGAGAAAGTTGGACCAAAAAGTGTACCCCGACTCGGACCAAAATTAGTCCCAATCAGAGAACGGCGCCTCCTCCTCCATTATCGCCGAATGAACTCACAGCATTGGAAATCCTACGCAGCATATGTTCTCTTCTCCTTCATCAACTCTATATAAAGAACACTCAAAATATTCAAATATACACCGTTCTTTCTAAAATTTATCCCATTAGAATCATGAGAGTGAGGAGAGTAGACTGCTGTTGTTGATTTCCGTCGAGGTCGCCGGAGCAAGCCGTGGTGTTCGCCGGAAGTTTCGTCGTTCAAACGCCGGAATCATCGTTTAGCTCCGAGGTAAGCCCGTAGATATATCTAATGACTAGAATGTTCGTATAAATCGTTTTTACGTTCATAAATGGTCATTTGGTTGAGTTTTGTGTTTGACATGCTTAAAGAATCAATAATCATAAACCTTGAATTTGATGTTAAAATCATGAATTAATGATACCAAAATGATCTATGAACCTTGGAGAACATTTCTATATAGTTTAATTGAAGTTTGGTAACCTAAAACGAAGCTTGAGAAAAATGGCCGAAGGAAGAAGATGATGAATAGTAAAATCTGTGCTGATACGGGACCCTGGTACCGTGACGAGGTACCGTTACCAGGTACCGTAAGAAAAAGAAAATTTTCAGAACGGTACGGTCGACCGTTCGGACCTAACGGTCGACCGTTACGAACATTTTTCAGTCCGAAAATGCTATTTTTGAAGCTATAAAATCCTATTTTTGACACCAATTAATTATGAACAATATAAATATGATTTTGTACAATAAAAATGATGTTTTTGACATATAAAACATTATGTGATGCATGACGGTAAGTACGGGTGTTAACACTCGAATCTAGGCCGCTATTTGTTAATAAATGTTATTATGACTATTATAATCAAACCTTGATAACATCCTGAATAAATGGTTATTATAATGGATAATGGAATATCATTGATAATAAATATTGATTATGATGATCAAATGGACGACCCGAGTAATTATGACTACATAACGATCATGATTTTATTATGACAAATAACAATATATGGAATTCAACGAAAGAACCGTAAAGATGAAATTATGAATAGATATACTTGTTTGACTATCTTGAACTAAATTATGATTATGAATTATTGAACCATAATTCAAAATGAATAAATTGATCAACAAGAAAATGATGTGTATTGTTAAGGATATCTAAAAGACTTTAAGATATACCTATTAGCTAATTGATGTTAAGACTATTTAGAAGACCTCTAGAATAGATCTTAGGATGAACTTATGAAAACATAAATAGTTGATGAATTAGATAAAAATGCATAAACGGGATTCATGGACCAAGCTAGAGGATTACTCGTTTGGGAATGCCCAATCCAATGTTGATCAATCGTTATATTGTTGTTGCCTTAACTGACTACAGTTAAGTGTCCGAAATCGATTGCCTTAAACTAATGATAGTTTAAGTGTCTGATTGCCTTAACTGACTACAGTTAAGTGTCTGAAATCAATTGTCTTAAACTAATGATAGTTTAAGTGTCTGATTAATAATTGCCTTTTAAGGATCTGGTTATGAAAATTATGATTTGGCCTTAAACTAAGAATAGCTAAGAGTATTGTTATTATCTGGCCTTAGACTAAGAATAGCTAAGAGTATTGTTATTATCTGGCCTTAGACTAAGAATAGCTAAGAGCATTGTTATTATTATTTGGCCTTAGACTAAGAATAATTTAAGGGCACTGTCAGAATAATATCTGAATTGAATAAAATGTGTTGATATGAACTGAACATTATCAAAACTGTGAATGTCTGAAATGAACATTGTGTGCATGATATCAAATGATTTGATTATGAATTTACATTCAGTTTATATGGATGTTCGATGCATTCGATATGCTTACTCAGCTTTACCGCTGAGCGTGTAGTGTGTTTTATTTGCTACACGCAGGTAAATAGAAAGAACAATGTGATCCAGGTGGCAGATGAGGCGAGATTGTCGGGATGGATGTGACAAGTTTTGAAACAATTTATGATATGTCAATATTAAAATCGCTTCCGCAATATTGTTGAATACTCCGTACTGTATATGTTATGAAAAATATTATTGGGATTAATAAAGTGTGTTTGAAAAGTTTTAAATTTTTACGATTACCAAGTTAAATACTTTAGTCCGAATGGGGCTGCAGACCTGGACGGATTAGGGTGTTACATAATGTGTAAATGAAAAAAAATATTAGCATATTTAAAAAATTATATAAAAAATTCTAGAAAATAAGTTTGACATTAATATTTTAGTTTGTTATAGTATATAACCAAGTAAAATAGCTAAAAGAAGTAAGTAATGATAGACTTTGTGAATACTAATGATGCTACTTAAATTTGAGACGTAGTGAATAGAACAAAGCTAGCTTGGGTGCCCCATGGGTGGTCATGCTTTACACAACACACACAAACAATAATCGTCTGTGTCGTACAAACAATAATTGTTTCTGCCGCACAAAGGATTATCATATGTGTTTGTTTGTGTAAAGCATATGAGAACATTCACGAGAACACTCGTGATGCGACTGCAACAAGGTTCAAACACACACATGCATGTATATATACATACATACATATGTGTGTGTGTATATATCAAAAATATGATTTCTTCTCCAAACTGTAAGATGATATATCTGTGTAATTCACTCTTATTTTGATTAAACCTTTTCTTATTTTATAAGGAAAGTTTTGCCCAAAAAATATTGATTTGCACCTAATTTTTTTGTTTTTTTTTGTATTTTAAGGATAAAAATATTTATTTGCCATTTAATTAAAGGGCAGATTTAATCAAAATCAAAGTGATATAACAATAAAGTTAATTATCACACGGTATAACATTTCCCATTTGAGCTTAATGTAAAGTTGATCTCTAAATTTTAGATTTTATGTTCTACTTAAATATAGGAAACTAGTACTAATCTAGTTTCTAACCAAATTTGGCATTACTTAAAATGAATATAATGGAGTGAAGCAAAAGTTATGCTGTCACCATATTGGAGTATCATATGTTTGTTGATATTAAGAGCCTGTCACAAGAAAGGAGTTTTATGAATAAGTTTAAAGTAGCTAACTTTTTCTTAATTATTCCTCGGCATTTGTTTGAGAATGATTGATGCTCTATACCAATTACTCCGTGTGTTACTATAATACGGAGTAGCATTTATAATGCCTTTTTATTCAGTTTATAATGGTCCAAGTGTGTGTACGTGTGTGTTAGGGCTAGACACGGTACCGGTACAGTACCGTTACCGGCAACGGTACTGTCGGTACCAGTTACTGTCACTGTAGTGCGGTACGTAACACCGGTTCCGGGAACCGGTACCGGCACCGCCCCTCTCGGTACCGGTTCCGATGCTCAAATTTCGGTCCCGGAACCGCCGGTACTGTGAATTAATTTTTTTGATTTACAATATTTAAATAACAACTACATTTTTAGATTTTTTATTTCATTTTTTTCTTTATCAATTGCAATTTTAAATTTTTTTATTTCATTTTTCCCTTTAACAAACGCACATTTACAATTTTACACTTTAAAAATTTAATAAAAAAACAAAAAAAAAATTGGGGGTGGCCGGTCCGGTACCGGAACCGCCGGTCCGGGTACCGGAACCGATACCGACCGGTCCAGTCACGGTACCGGTACCAAAGGGTGGCGGTAACGGAACCGGAACCGTCCCGGAACTGTACCCGATCCACCCCTAGTGTGTGTATGTGTGTGTGTGTGTGTGTGTGTATATATATATATGTATGTATGTATGTGTGTGTGTGTCTATATATATATATATAATGATGCTTATAATGTTGTTATAGCTATTTTGATTATTAGGCTTACTATTTAATGACTCTTTTGGGAAAAAATATTTAGAATAATTATTTTTTGAACAAAGGAAACATATTTATTTGTTAATTCTCTCCTAATTACGTGTAAAAACTACGCGTAGTGAGAAGAGAATTGGAAGAGTTACCATTCAAAATTCTTTTTCATCTATTCCCTCCATCCCAATTTTAAATATAATTTTAATTTCTCTCTCTTCTCGATATTTTTTGTTTATTTGTGTGGTTTCATTAATTATTTGATAAAATAAAATACTCTTGTCACATATATAAAAATCACATATTAAAAAACAAGATGTGACAAAAATATTTTATTTTATCAAATAATTAATGAAAACAAACAAAGAAACAAAAATTATCGAGAAGAGTAAAAAATAAAATTGTAATCAAAATAAGGACCGAGGGGATATATTGTAAAATATTTAAAAAAAATGAAAATTTAAGTGGTTGAATTTTCTCAAAAAAATAATAATAATTTAGATTATGTATTTCTATTTTTTTTTCCAAAAAAGAAAATAAAGAAAATACCCTTTAAAATAAGTTACTTTTATATACGGATAAATATGGAAAATGGAAAGAACTCTAAAATTGCACTAGGACTCAAGTTCGTCTTCTTCAACTCAACTAACTGTCTGTCTACGGTTACTTCCAAAACTTCCTCGCTGTAATAATATAACCATACGCCATCCTGCCGGCCGAGGCATTAACGCGAGCACTTGGCGGGCAGCAAGACATATCTCAACTGCAGCTTGAACTCGCGAAGCAGGAAGAATGAAGTACGTTTTGGTGACTGGCGGCGTGGTTAGCGGCCTCGGCAAGGGCGTCACTGCAAGCAGCATCGGCGTTGTTCTCAAAGCATGTGGCCTTCGCGTTACCTCCATCAAAATCGGTTCAATTTCTCGCCCTTTTTTTCATCTCCGCAAGCAACTGTTCGATCTATTACTTAGCGCACTTGCTGTTTGTCCTCAGATTCCAATTTTTTTACTGCATTGCTAGTTCCAGTTCATAAATTCGTTGTTAATTACTGTTTGTTTCTTGTTTTGCTGTGTGTTCGATTGCATTTTGATGGCATGCAGATCCCTATTTAAACACTGATGCCGGTACGATGTCTCCTTTTGAGCATGGGGAGGTTTTCGTGCTCGACGATGGAGGAGAGGTTCCCTTTAGTTTCTTTCTTTCCGTTTCCCTCCATCTCACACTTACCTGTTCACTTTTCAAACTATTTGAAATTTAAAAGAATTAATGTAAAGTTGGGAAATTCAACCATATTCAATTAGTTGTACATGTTACTTTTAACTACACTTACCAATATGTTGACCATGTTAGTATTTTTCAGTTTTTGAACTGGCTCTTATATGCATGCATACAATTACTAATTTGTGTAATTTCTACAACCAGCAGCCAGCCAACCACTACATGCATTGCAATCTTTACTGTGTGGTGTGCTTCATTCTTTGATGAGATCCTTTTTTTAGACAGGTTGATCTAGATTTGGGAAATTATGAACGCTTCTTAGACGTAACACTTACAAGGGACAACAATATTACCACAGGAAAGATATATCAGGTGCTATTCTTAGTGTTTTGTTTTCTTTGTTTATGGAGGGTGTTCAGCAACTGCTTAGACATTTTTTCTGTTTTCTTGTAGTCTGTGCTCGAGAAGGAGCGTAGAGGTGATTATCTGGGAAAAACTGTTCAGGTGTTTCCCATGTGACAGTTTATACAATCATTTGAACCACCCAGGTCATTCTGTGTATTGATAGTCACTTCGAATTTCAGGTTGTTCCACATATCACCGATGCCATTAAGAATTGGATTGAATCAGTATCTCAAATTCCTGTTGATGGGAAAGAGGGGCCTGCTGATATTTGTGTGATAGAATTAGGAGGAACGGTTGGTGAGACATTGAGAAATACTTCGTATCTAACATGCCAAAAGCCTTGAAATTTGTTCATTTTCTTCTAAAAACAGTCTAATAGTATATGATTACATATTTAATATCAGTTTGTCAATTTTCATCAGGTGATATTGAATCAATGCCCTTCATTGAGGCTTTAAGACAATTATTTTTCACTGTTGGTATGTTGCAATACTGTATCTATTAATATGTGTATATTTTCATTATTTGATACTGGCTCAATGAGAGTAAAACACATTCAATTTTTTTTTCTGGCATTGTTTGTTTGCTGGTTATTTTCTGAAAAAAAAAACACTTGTGTTCTTTCTAATCAGGACAGGACAACTTCTGCCTCATTCATGTCAGTCTCATTCCTGTATTAAGTGCCGTGGGTGAGCAGGTAAATCCTTATACCTGTCACATCTAAGGTCATTTTTTCACTTCTGAAAACTTTACAACGTCCACATAAGCTTGCTATCCAGCGCATGTATATAAGAAAACAAGATTGCTCTCACCAGCCAATTTAGTATTTCAATGTAATTTGTTTATGAGATTATATTTTTTGTATATTGATCTCTATTTCTCTGCACATCTGCAGAAAACCAAGCCTACACAACATAGTGTGCGGGAGCTGAGAGCATTAGGTTTGATGCCCCACTTTTTAGCATGCCGCTCTGTAGAGGTAAGTGGTTCATCTATCCATTATTCCACTGACTCCATGTATTTCATTACTATGCCGATTCTATTGTTGTGATGTGGTGCAGCCTTTGCTGGAAAATACTAAGCAAAAACTTTCACAGTTTTGCCACGTCCCGGTAAGTTTTAATTGATGAGATGCATCATCTACCTTGTATATAGAATGTCAGTGTAGTTTGATGTGATCATTTACGTTTACTCAGGCTAGCAATATTCTCAACATTCACGATGTTCCAAACATTTGGTGTATCCCTCTATTGCTCCAGGTGAGGTATTCTAAACCACAATTTTCCTTATTGCACTAACATAGCCATTGATTAGGGCTATCTTTTTTTTTATAGAGCCAAATTGCACATAATGCCATTCTGAAGCACCTGAACTTAGTGAAGTAAGCTTTTATACGAATATATCTTGAATATAGATCTTACTCAAATTTTAACGCATTTCATCAAAATTTTGATGCTCTGGGTCACCGCATGGCTTGTTTCTCAGAGTTGCTACAGCACCTGACTTGCTGGAGTGGACCAAGAGGGCCGAGACTTTCGACAAACTCACTAGCTCTGTCAGTGGATACAAACAACTTGTACATATTTCTTCAATGCATATGTTCATTACAAATGAGTGGAGACTTTCTTATTTTGCAGGTAAGAATTGCAATGGTTGGGAAGTATGTTGGACTAGCAGATTCCTACTTGTCTGTGGTGAAGGTAAGATTTTTTAAGCTGTGATGAATAATTGAACACATCATGTTATCTACACTGTTAGAGTTTGGTTGTGAGGATTTGAAAACACAACAAGCAGAAATCTTGCTAGTTTATCTGATCTAATCACCACACTGCCACTGCTAAAATGCTGTTTACCATCAATAGTCAAATTGGAAGCCATGATTATCCACGTCGGGGTTAGCTAAATCTGCCAGGAAACCAAATTGTTAAGTCCCTATTTCATCTCAACCTTTTCCCACTTCTAAGCTGATAGGTGCCAATAAAAGGGTTAATGTTTGCATTTCTTTTTGGTCTGGTGTGTTGATCTGATTAAAATACAGCATTAGAAAAAGGTCAACACAAAAGCACCTTAGCTGAATAAACTATGGATCATGTTTGTAAAATCAAATTTGATTGCTTTGATATGTGATTCTGTTACGTTGATTATGCCCATTTTTTCTCATCAATTGTTAAAATCTATGCAGGCACTCTTTCATGCCTGCATTTCGTGTTCGGTGAAACCATCAATTGACTGGATTGCAGCTTCAGACCTTGAGGATGAAAGTGCCCGATTGGTACATCACTCATACCTTATTTTTTAGGTCATATTTGTTTTGAAATCTAGACTTTGATTATTCTTTCAAATATTTGCAGACACCAGTGGCACATGCTGCTGCATGGAAGACTTTGGGGGTATTTTTTGAATTGGTGTCTAGTGTTAGAACAAATTGCTTTGGCTAATATCAAGATGCCAATTTCTTGGGAAGAAGCTTTATATGATGTGATAGTTCTAGGTAAATTGGAATGAGGGCATGAGAACGATGTGACATGTACTTTCAGGAGGCAGCATGCATCTTGGTTCCAGGTGGATTCGGCGATCGCGGTATCAGTGGGATGATATTGGCTGCAAAATATGCAAGAGAGCATGATATTCCATATCTTGGGATATGCTTAGGAATGCAGATTAGCGTAATTGAGTTTGCTAGATCTGTAAGTTATTTCTTTTGAATGTGTGCCAATTGTTTTTGCTGCATTTATCATCGTCAATGCAACACAATCTCCATCAGATGTGTAAGGGCATTTTTTATGTTATCAGTAATAACTTTATTAGGCGGTTGCTCTAATCCAGTTTCATGAACTTATGTTCTCTTAAAACGTCTTGAAGATAAAATGCTTGCAGCTTTATTTTCTTTAATTGTATATGGCTTGACACTTCTGTGAATTGAATGTTTCAGGTTTTGGGTTTGGAGAAGGCAAATAGTACAGAATTTGATGAGGAGACACCCAATCCTGTTGTAATTTTCATGCCAGAGGTAATATATCACTGCAGTGCTATAATAATATTCCATCCTTTTTGTAATGCATCTTTCATGTGCATTCACAGGGATCAAAAACTCATATGGGAAGCACAATGAGGCTGGGTACGAGGAGGACATTGTTACGCTCTCCTGATTGCATCACCTCAAAGCTGTAAGACATTGATGCATTGTGCCCTTAGTTTAAAATGCATGACAATGAAGATGTACTTAGGGGATGATGTTCATTCGGGCATCTGGCATAATTTGATGGTTTGGGTCTAGTTATTTAGGACGTGAGACTTATAGGTGTACGCACATAGTTACAACTTACACACACATGTATGGATGGATGATGGGCGTCTATGTGTATTTATATATGTGAGTATGCATATTTATTTATGTATGTGTGTGCATTCGTTTTTTGTTTTATTTCATGGACACATTTACTCTTTGCATGGTATTTACCTTAATTGCTTGAATATGCTAATTAGTATGCTAAAGTACTAGGGCAGTGATAATATCTTCTACGAGATCCTCGGTGCGTGCACATGTGCATTCACATGTATGTATAGCATAGCATCAGCCCAATAGACTTGTCATGATTATTACACTTTAGTGTTGAAATTCTCCGTATAAGTGTGCTCTATCTTTCTGAAGGTACAAAAATTCACAATATGTGGATGAGCGGCATCGGCATAGATACGAGGTAAATGAGTAAATCATACAACTGTGCTCATGGAGTGGTATTGTATTGTGGCTTGCATGGTCATATTGCGCCTATTTTAATCTACTGGCGCAGGTCAATCCTGAGATGGTTGGTGCTCTAGAAGAAGCTGGCTTGAAATTTGTTGGAAGGGATGAAAGTGGAAAAAGAATGGAGGTTAGTGTTTTTTTGTGCTAAGCTGTTCATAATAATGGTTGAATTGGCTGTAAGGTAAACACACACCAGCCACTTATGTGGTTCTTCTGTTGTCTCTTCCGGTCAGCAGCCATCATTGGCGTAGAAGAGTGGAAAAAATGAGTTTTTTTTATAAATCTTGACATTCAATTAATTAACTTGCTAGTTCAGCTGTCTTTTTCTCACTGCACTTTTTTTGGCTGACTTGCTTTATGTCTCTCCTACATGCTTTGCAGGTTTTAGAACTTCCAAATCACCCATTTTATGTAGGGGCGCAATTTCATCCAGAATTCAAGTCACGACCTGGGAGACCCTCAGCTCTATTTCATGGTATAGTATTTGAAGCAGTTAATTACTTCTCGTCTTACATCTTACTCTGGTGTACTATTCTAATCATCTAATTGAATTACTACATGTTCTGAAACCGTACACTAGCTTGTATACTTTCAGTGAGTTCTTGGTATAAAACTGATAATTTCAACTAGGAGCACCTCTCTATTGTTATTTTCGGCCAACTAGACATAGAATTAAGTATATACTCTGTATTTCATTTAACTTGCATAGTTCTCTACCATTTTCCAAGGACCTGTTAGTTATCGTTGTGTGTTTTCACTTTTATGTTAGTAGTTTTCGAAAATTGAACACTGAAAACTGGCATCAATACCAAAAGAATCATCAGTGTATATTTTTATGTTACCCTTTTTTTGGTAGTAGTAGTTTACAAGGAGTTAGGTAATATGACATGGCCAAGAGTGCAGAATGTTTCTCAATTTTTTGAGAGATTCGTGCACAATTACTTTGCATTTCTCAACTGTTATATACTGGTGCTCTGAGACCTAATCACATACAATTCTATGTTTTCCTTCAAATTGGTATCTGTATGGTTCGAATGTGAGGCCATGCATGAAAATGCTCTTCCTGACACTTGGGTATTTGCTGTTGCAGGCTTTATCTTGGCAGCAACAGGGAAATTGGAGGCATACCTAAAGAGGGGTCTTCAAAATAGAGCCCAATAGAAACTTCATTATTTGATATAACCATATAAGGTACTTAGTACATTTTACTGAAGAGCAGATTTACTGCTTGGCAGGAGGGACACTCACAGATGGTCATCGTGCCACTGGGAGAGATTCTAATAATGGAAGGTATTCTAAGGCTCTGGAGGGCTAAATTTTCAACCCGATAAAATGCTTAAATAGGATGCTTTTCGTAAACCGAATAAAAGTTGATTGAATATTATGTGATTACATATAATGTTGAATCCTTCAATTTTCATAAAATCTCAATTATTCCGTATAAATCATCATATAGACTAAGCCCTCCAAAGACTGACAAACAAGAAACATGCTTCCATTTATTGTGCCAGCCTGCCATCTAATGAATGTGATTTAAAGTGCATAAATAATCAAACTGTAATATATAAGCTCCCCTTATGAAACCATGGCCATATGGCAAAACCGTGACCTGTTCAAAACCATGATTTACGTGCGTTGGGTTTCTGTCAGGAAGGGAAAGCATGATTTTGTTTTCTGGGCATTTGATTTTTTTGGCCAGGAAGGGAAGTTCAGCTGACTGTGCACCCTCTCAGATAATGTGCTTCTTATGTTTGTTTCTGCCAAATTTCAGATAGTGTGATAAACATAAAATTAGTGTTGGAGATTTATTTATTTATAGTGTTTGCTTTTCATTTCTTGGTCTCCTTTCAATTCTTGTTGGAGACTTATTAGTGTTGCTGCTCTCTTGTTAGGGACTAGTTTGGATGATTGGAAATGGTAGGTAGTGGTTTCACATGATAATTAATTGCAAGCTGTTTTTTTGTTTTCCTGTTTTGTGTTTATAAAAAAAAAATAAAAGCTGTATGCTCGTTTGGGGCTGAGATTAAAAATTAATTTAAAAAAATAAATAAATATTAAAAAAAATGGTAGAAGAATGTGGATTAAGGCCCTACCCCTACCCTGAGCACTGGAAAGTGAAAGCCTTAGTTGGCAAGAACCATGCATAGCATAACCAACCACTCTCGCCAATACTGTGTGAGCTGTGTCTTATACGGGGTAAATCTGTTTGCTGGGGTATTGTTTTTGTCAGTTGTCTAAGGTAAATAACATTTCAATATATATGCTGCTCTAACTAACTGATGTCATCCTTGCAACCTCTTTTTTCGTTCGTTTGTTTTTTTTATTGGTAGGGCAAATTGCCAAAATGCTTACTGCCTATCATGCATTTTGGGTGCACATTAACTTTCTCAAATAAAACCATTAAAAATAAATGAATCGAGTATAATGTTATATTAATGTTAAATCGGCAAAACTCAATTGATACTGTCATCTAGTGTCAACTGATGACATTTGCCTATTTCGAGCACCTTTGATGTGATGCTCTGTTTCTAAAATTTATGGTTCTTACCCCTCCTAACCCGTTCCCTAAATCTTCCACTGTACCCTATACCCCTCTTTTATCCCTTCCAAATGTGGCTATTTTGCATTGCATAATAGCTACACAATTGGAGGGGGTAAAAGGGAGGGGGTGTCTAGGGTGGGGATGCGGTGGGGGGGTTTAGGGGATGGGTCATGGGGGTAGGAACCATCAATTTTTCATTTGGACAATCGAAAGTGGTCAAAATAGGCGAGTGTCATTTGTTGGTATTAGATAACAGTGTCAACGGAACCTTGTCGATGTTAAATAGGTGTTTATCAATTTATATACACAAGAAGGTTCATGTGCACCTTAGGTGCACAAAAGACATTTCCATATATAAGAAGCCTTTGTATACCAAAGGTGTACATTAAAAATCACTTCCATTGATAAAATGTGTCTGTAGATATGAGTTGAAAATACAAGTTTTGTTATTGAAATTAGTCTTTCGAGGGAGTATCTTATAAGCATATGTAGTGAAATAAACGTGTGAAATAAGTAATGTTTAACGTGTAAAGAGATATATGCCCAATGTACAATAAACATTACTCCGTACATACCTGGATATACTCTTCCCCGTAACTAAGACAATTTAATTCCACGCAATTTGAGAAAAATATTACGGAGTAGAAAGTAAAAAAATGAGTAGTTGATAAAAGAAGAAATATGGATCACATATCTTTTACTTTATTAAGAAAGTAAAAAATTATAATATTTTTTGTGGAATTTTGAATTATGGATTTTATTCAAGTCAATAGAGATTATACATAAGTGTATATATAGAGAGAGATTCTAACATAATTAAGAGTCAACCTTTTATAGAAGCTGACCATAGAAATCCTATCATAATCAATACTACCATAAACAAAAAAAAAGTTAATGAATTAATTTGGGGACGAAGTACAATATACGGAGTAGGTAGTCAACCAGGTCATTACTCCGTACATTTTTTGTTGCTAAAAAGGCCAAAAGTATATTCAGGTGTAGTGAATGCGATTTTTTCCCCCTAAAGATAGTAAAAAGTGCAACAGCTACACTTTATCAACCGTCATTACTCAAGAGGCATATCATTAGCAACGTTATTATCAATTTTGGAGCTAATATCGTCTAATCCGAGAAGGTCTATTGTACAACCCTACAATCAGGTGTAGCTATAGCTACTTACACCGACAAATAATATTTATATTGAATCAACGTAATGTTCATTCGGAAGGAACGTAGTGTTTAATTTTGCACATTTGTTCATTACAATTATAATAATCATTTGAAACAACATAATATTCATTCTCAAATAAAATAATATTTATTTTAAAGCAATGTAGTGTTCATTGTAAAGGAGCCCAAAGTTCTCGTCTCAAACCACCACATCGGAGGGAATCGCGGCTTCTGAGGAACTGTTGGCTAGGGTTAGATCACCGCTACCAAAGTCATTGCCGCTACAGTCTGGGTGTTGGATCTCCATTGATCGCAACCTCACTCGGCCTTCCCCGTCTCTTCCTGTACCCAAGTTTGGATACAACCGGTTGTACAATAATCGCTTCCGTCTCATACAAAGAGCTATGAACTACAAAGTATTATACCAATATCGTTTTTGATATATACATACAAAGATTACGAACGTTTACATCAAATTATGGATAAGATTAATGGAATTAATAGGAGTATTAATCAATCAATCAATCAACTAGGTGAGGTTGAAATTGAAAGCAATTCAGAATGGCGCTGCAGATATGAAATCTGCCTTTGCAGCTTAATTTGCTCGTAGAAGCTGGCTATGAACTGCTCCGCCTTCTGATCAATTTCATCGCCGCCGTAATCATCCGTCGCCGAACTCTCCTCGAAGAAACCGGAATGATCGGAACTGCCGTATTCGCGAGACTCCATCGTATAATCATCGTCTTCGTCGGTGCTCCGGAAATCGAAATCCACGCGGGGATCGCCGATGCAGGGAATGCGAGGCAGCTTGAGCCGCAAGGGAGCGGGACGGCGGGCGACGGGAGTGCTGCCGAAGGAGAACTGGCGCTCGCCGCGACGGAGTGCGGCGTAGGACGAATCGAGCCGGCGGCGGCGGGAGCGGCGGCCGTGGAGGCTCTTGACGAACTTCACGGCGAGCTGTTGCGCCCTGCTCCTGAAACCCGATCCCTCCCTGGCCCAGCGGAGCAATGCTACCCGAACCAGGTTCCACGCCCCCCTCGATTTCATTTTTCTTTTTGTTTGTTTAATAATTCCTTCAAATCTTCAATATAATTACTTAATTCGGATTCACTGAAAGTTGATGTTACAGCTAATATTACCTTAAATAGATAGCTTTATTCTGGAAATTTGAATGGATATACGGAGTATATATAGGGAAGGAAAAAATGTAGGGACTAAATAATAAACAAATGTGTATTTTTAAATTTAAAAAAAAAAAAAGACCAAGTCAAGGACTCAAGGGGATGATGTTCTCAAAGAAAGACGCAGTAGGAACTTGGGAAATTGTCCCTCACACGCTTTGCGGCCTCTTCCTTTATAACCGAAATACCTAGTATACCATTTCATAATTTTTAAAAATAATTTTATTTATAAATTGATATAAAAATGAAAAATACTCCCTCCGTTCCTGAAAATCTATCTTTTTTCTTTTTTCATCCGTCTCAAAAAACACTTCTTATTTCTATTAAAAAGTCACTTTTAGCTCTTACTTTTTTATACTCTACATATCGCATCATACATTTTTTATACTCTACATATCGCATCATACCTTTTTACTAATAATTTACTCATCAAATCCTACTTTTATCCATCACATTAAAAGATATTTTTAGAAATTCAATACCAAAATACACTCTCCTTAAATCTCTTCAAAATTAAAACATCACATGTTTAAAGGGACGGGGGGAGTAAGATTTATGTACAGAGTATTTAAGAAAATATATCAAAAATTCTAAAAAACAAGAGGTGATGACAATACTTAATTTTATCAAATAATCAATGAGACCATGCAAACAAATAACAGTTATCGAAAGTCATAATAGTAAAGAGGTAAATCATTTTAGGACGGAGAGAGCATGAATTACATTGTAAAACGTTATCAAAAAAGTAAAATGAGAAAATGACCCTGCGAATAATGAACAGACACTATAAATTGGGACGGAGAAGTACATTAATATCTATATAGTGCGTAGGGTGTTATACCCTCCACTTCATATATTTTTATTTTATTTCTTACCAATTTCAGTTTAATTTATATTGATTACCTAATTTATTTCATTAATTTTGTATGGTTTTAGTTATTTTTCTCATTTTCATTAATTTTTATATCTTTTTTTCTAAGGTAAGATTAATCTTTAAAAAAAGAAAAGGAAATGATTCAAAACACGTAAATTTCAGTAAGATTAGGATTATTATACATCACGATAAAAAGTACTCCCTCCGTCCCATTTTAAATTGCATGTTTGCCTTTTTTCTCCGTCCCAAAATAAGTTGCATGTTAGTAGTTATTTTCGTAAACTTTTTTAAAAAAAATAACTAAACTACCCCTAAAATAAGTCATACTTCTTCACTTTATCTTCTCATTCATCATCACCCCTCCTAAAAAGTAATATCAATTTCAAAAAATCAACTCTTTTTTTTATTTTTCTTAAATATGTCCAAAAGTCAAAACAGGCGATTTAAATTGAGACGGATGGAGTACTATTGTTTTTGAAAAACCAGATAAAATTGGAATTATTCTGAATGGTTTTTCCTAAAAATAGTATTTGCATATTTTTTTTCTGCTACCTGAATTTGAAACTACAATTCTAATTACGTGCACGCCCATTTGGAAAAGAACTTACATTAACTCTTTGAAGTGGAATTGGGTTTTCAAAACTCCAAAAAAGAATCTTTGAAATGAATTTTTCCACACTCAAAGAAATCCATATGGTGTTAGAGGAATAGACAGAAATGCAGATACACACAACTCCGAATTTCTACTGTTTTGTTTTTTGGTTTTGTAACCAATAATGGTCTCTACATGCAACGCAATTACTAAACAAAGGTTTCATTTAGCCATCTCAAGGGTAATCAAAGCATAGGCAGAATACAATATTAAACTTTCATGCTACAAAAACACAATTGTCTGACTAGCTCCAGACGACTCTCTTTCTTTTTATCTATCTTTGTTGTTTTTATTTTTTCATATCACTTGTGACAACACGCTAACAGGTAACTCATCAATTTGTGAGTTTGGTATATAGGTAGGCGTACAGACTGTTCAAAATTTTCATCATGATCGTCCTGTTTCTTCCGGTGTTCTATACTCGTTCCAGTGACACGATCACAACAACCAAGTTGACAGATCATGTGTCTCATAGGACGACTAAAAATACTTCAATTGGATATACCTTTACGACATGGAGCACATATCAAACTGTTGCCCCAAAAAACACTAGGCCATCCTTTGGTAAGCTTTTGAACCGACCCGTGCTGATATATTTCAAGTTTGTTTGCTTTTTGACCGCATGAAGCCTTTCTTGACCAAGTTATAGGACAGGACACTTTTTCGGGACATTGTATCTGAAAGTGAGCCCAAATTGGCACTTGAACGTCTACCATGGAGGAACAAAATTGTTGGCAAACATTCGGACCACGTGCATCATCTCCCTTGAGAATAATGAGAGAGGAAGAATTGGTAATCGGGGAGAAAAACCTTTAAATCCCGAAGCCAATGGTCTGCAGCTAGCAAGAGAGAGTTTTCCTGCTCGGACTCATGGGGTCCAGATGGACTCACTAGTGAGCCCTTCAGTTTGTATGAAGCAAGACCAAATACTGGTAAAGAAATCTTTAGGGCAGCATGACTCATACTATTGATACTCCTACCATTTGCACCATGGAATTGTGGCTGAACAGGACCTGACAATGAGATTACAGATTTATTATTTAAAAAATGGCAGATAGAGAAACATAGACCTTAGGTCAAATAGAAGGGAGGTTCACTGTTCATCTTTCAATAGAAAAGTTTGCGATCGCATAGAAAGATAAGGAGGCGAGAGGTACCTCTACATTGAGTGGATAAGGGATAAAATGTTAAAAAAGATGCATCCAGATCCCGTAGTGTGTGGCCTATGGGTATTCTATATATTGGATACCTGCAAGAAACTTCATGTAAGTTAAAATACCCCAAAAACACGTTACGAGGTCAAATTTTATTCTCTTTTTGCATACCAAGCAACAGACATCCAACTTGAGGGCATCAAATCAGAACTCCTGCACTTCTTCAACTCTGGATATTGAGATGCTAGGTCCATAATCTGTCAAGGTGAAAGGAATTTAAAACCTCTCGAAGTGAAGAGGTGGAAAGTATGATCCTCATCATAAAACTTTTAAGGTCCGTTTACACTTTTACCTTGTCAATCAATGGCCTGCGATTGTATGGTTGTTCTTGCTCCAAATATTCAAACAAAAGAGATCCAGCTGGTTTACTTGATTCAGTTTCGTCAGCAGATTTATCTCTAGTTGAGATCCCATTTGGTTGTAGGGAATTTGAATTTAATTGGTTTTCTTGGCTCCATTTTCCAACAGCAGTTTTAGATTTCTTATCTATATCACAATGACCATTGCCAACACAACCAGATTTCCTTAGTGACTCGACATCACTCTCACCTGAACTCCTGTTAGAAATGAATAGGTCACATGAAACAGAGTGCATAACTTTCAATCACATGCTGTGTAAAGAATCCAAACATCCAGTGTAATCATGCCTTGGTTCATAGTTAAAGTGAAAACAATTCTCCATTTTAGAGAATACAAGAACTTGTTAAAGCAAAAATGCCGCATCTCCAACCAACCTATGTATCTCTTGGCAACAAGTCCAAAAAAGACTGAGAAAATATTGCTCACCAATTTCAATGTTTTCAAGTTGCATCAGGTGCAAAAATGATCTAGCCACTTGAGTAACCAAGATGGGTTCCTAAAGTAGAGAAGATACTCCTTCATTTCACAGGTGTGTATCAGATACTGCTCCAAGTCTACAACTTTGTCAGTAAAGCAGTCAACTTATTCACTAATAATGCTGGGAAGCGGAACTCAGATTGGACATCCTTGTTCAATATCACTTTTAAGCGACCATTTATAGAGAAACTTGATAAGCAGTAATTTTAAGTCATATAATCAGAGAAAATATGGTGAAATGGAGTTATTCCAGATTATCATCAACTAGGAAAAGTGGTAGGCTAAAGGGTTTGGTCAGAATGAAGAGCCCTTGGTCAAGTAAACTGGCAGCAATTGCACCATGCCCCAATTGAATACAATTCACCACATGATATTTGAGTCTTTGACATATTTTATCTGATATGTATCAGCACAAAAACTTAAATGCAAACGAATTATTGCAACTAAATTGTAGAAATAAATTAAAATCAATAAAAAGCAAGACAGCCCACAATGACCTTATGTAAAGAAGGACATAATGTAAGATAGCAACCGCTTGCATGGAAACAACTCTAAAGTTGTGATAGGCCAAAAATTCTCTAAATCTTTCAAAACTAAAGACAAAAATTAAACAGTGAATCAAATTGCTATGACGAATGAAAGTCTGTGGTTGAATTAATAGAGTCCTATGATGCTAAAGATGTGATAGAATGAGACCACCATATGCAAATGAACGTTATGAAATTTATGATCCAGGGAGTTCTGATCACAGAAAACCAATAATTGGCTTTAGCAGAAGGGTAAACAGTTACAACTTACAAGCGAAGCACGACATCTGAAAAAGCCACAGTAGTGTGTAGAATAAAATATCCATAAGAGAAATACATATTTACTCACCTAAGCCGAGACAGTGGCTTCAAAGGGTCTATGTACAATTGTATGCCGGACAAGAATGGAACATAATACTGAACAATGTGGTCTTTTTTATTCAACACCAGTGGCACACCAACGCCATACACGCTCCACTCTCGGAAAGATTCCCAAAGATCCTCAAGGCAAAAGAATGAATTTGCATTGGATTCACGAGGCCTTTGTTTTCTTACACTTGCCTGTTCATTCGAGAAATGACCGCATATAAAACACAATATTTCCAGAAAGAATTAATGACAACAGAATAAGAACTCATTCTTGTGATCATCTCTAAATCATACCAAGTACGGAGTAGAAGGAATTGTAAACTAACGAAGCAATCAAATAAATCAAAGTGCAGCTATTAACCGATTAACAAAGACAAGTAAAATTAGTCAGCAGCCTGTTTTCAATGATTACAGTCCAATCGAAAAAAAAGTCAATACTATAATCTCGTGAAATGAGGATAAATTCCATTTTCACGGGATGGAAAATAACTAAGGCAGCAATAAAATCTCAGGATTTATACCTCAGATGGTTTCTGAGCTTGCACGAAGGGAGTAACAGATTCCATCAGCCGATCCAAGTTAGTGACATCCTTAGGAAGCTCGGGAGAAGAGGAGCAGACGGATGGCGGCTTAGCCAATGCTGTGGCGGAATCGTCAGATTCAGTCCGGTTCCCAACTTCCGGAGTTGCCGCCTCCGGCTTCGCTCCCTTCTTCTGCTGCTGTTGTCTCTGCACCTGTAGCCGCGGCGGAGGCGGCTGCTGCTGCTGTACAACGGTCGCCTGACGCTGCCGTCGCATGGCCGGAGGGTTGTAGAATCGGTCTCCTCCGTGGCTCCGCGTCACAGCGAATCCTCCCGAGTTAGACATCCCGTGCGCCGATAGCAACAGAATTCAGCAAGCAAGTGCGAAGAGTTCAGATCAGCAAAGGGGATTGGGAGATTGAGACCGAGAATTGAGATTCAAGATTAGGGTTTTGGGGGTTTGTGATAGATACAGTCCTTGGAGGATGGAGGCTTGTCTGAATAAACTCCTTGTTTTGTGTTTATGGCAGCTTTGGACTTTTGGAGAAGAAAATAAAAAATCAAAGATGATAATAGAGAAAAGGGAGGAGGAGAAGAAAAAGGGAATATGCTTTCTTGTTTTATCCCTACATTTCCACCAAATAATTTTTAGCCTTCTCATATTCTTTTTAATTCACTCAGGATTACATCAAAATAGGATACCTTATTTTTACAATAAATATTTTAAATATATTGTTTTAAATATTTTTTGTTAATACGGAGTATATTTTAAAAAGAATTATTTGTCAAATTTTAAGTTTGAAAAGTAAACTGGACAGTCAAATAGAAACACAGAAGGCATTATTTAAAGAAACCCATACTAATAAAATTGAACATGGACTGTGCTAATCAAATTGTGATCCAGCTACATGATAATAACTCCCTTATTTGGAATGTCGATCCTCACTGGGTGCACAACAACTATACGTGAGGTTAATTATACATTAATCATGTTAGGTGTACCCTAAAATTGTATCCTAAAAATTTACGCTTGTATTTTGAAATGTTACATTGATATAAAATGTCAGTGCAATTACAAAATTTTGCATTGACATTGTAATTATACTTGTAAAGATTCATTATAATTATTTTTTTCGTCTCAGAAAATATTTTCATACTTTTTTTACACACTAAAAAATCACTTAAGTTACTCTCTCCCTTAAAAGAAAAAAATTCTTACTTTGAGAACTTAGACTTGATACAAAATGGGAGAAAGACCAAACTAGGACTAAAACATTGAAAATATATCAAAATAGAACTTCCATATTTTTATTTTTGAAATAGGACTACATTACTAAACATGGTCATATACATTACCAAAAAAGTATAGTAATTTGCACATGTACATTGACACATTACCACAATGCAAAGTCACATTACCACAGTGCAAAGTCCTTTTCCGAGAAAAAAAACCTGAAAGTCCTATTTTGGTACTTTTCTCTATGTTTTAGTCTTATTTAGGATGATTTCTAATACAAAATTTAAGAAAAATGAAAATATATGATAAAAATAATTTTAAAAAAAAGAAATATTATGAATTACTCATTAAAAAATTGATAATTAAAGTTTATCAAATTGAATCATAAAAATCAAAAATTGCTCTCGAATGGAAATAATAATATTCTTTGGGATGCAAGCAATGATATTAAAATAAGCAATACTCGACCAAAAAACATTCAATAAAAAAATTACAGAGTATTGAATTGCCCAAAAGGGCAAAAGTAGGATTGATTATTTGAAGGGTCTGTCTACCTTTGGTTCATCCACATGCTTATTATTTGTTCAGCTTTGGTAAGCCGCGTCGCACCGAATTTACGAGTGAGCCCTTCCATTTCAGGGCAATTCGTTTCTGGGCTGAAACAACATTTCGTGCGCTTTTTGGATTTCTAGTTTCTTGGGCTCAAGTTCTTTGCACCTCGTCCAACATTTTTTTTCTTTTCACGTCGTTTCTTTTTATCAAATTTTGTCAAATTAAATTTGTTTGTTTACGTACTTCTTCCGTCTCAATTTAAATTATCTATTTCTGTTTATAATATTGAGTAGTGTACTTTGGTGCATATTATTTTTATGGACCTTCTCACATTAAATTTGTTTATTTAAAAAAAACATGCATATTTAAGTAGTAAATACGTAGTAAATACTTATTTTAGTTATGTGTAGGTTCATGATGCACCTTAGATCCACCATAGAATTTGCCTACGATATTTGACTAAAATTACTTTCAAATTATTTTATTTGAAAAATAGTGTAAATTTAAAAAAATTACATATCTAAAGCTAAACAAAAAACCTACAAAACTAGTGACTTGTCTATATTATTGTATCAAATGACTAATGAAAATAAAGAAATAAAGTAAATGAAGTTAGACTATATGAATAATAAACATACAATTTAATTTGGGATGGGGGGGGTAATACATAGCTACATACTCATTGAGTCATTGAGTTTCAAAATGATTTTTTTATATTTTAATTTTAATATTAATGTAACACCCCAAAATATAGCCAAGTTATTTTATGATAAAAGTATTTTTTAAAACTAAATTTTAGTACAACACTGTATTAATTCTGTGTTTGACCAAAAATGAAGAAATTTTCGGAGTTGATAATCTCTTGCTAAAATTGAGTTGTTTGGATAGGTCTCGTAAAGACGAATCGAATAGTATATTTTAGGGGTGGGCGTGAAATTCGTTCCCGTTGGACCGTCCCGAAAAATCCCGGATCCGTTTTGTAATTGTACCGATATATTGAGACACATTTTTTTTGTCCCGAACCCATTCCGTCCCAATATCAAATGGGACATAAGCGGAACAACTTAAATTTATACCGATCCGTCCCGTTTGTCCCATTTCATCTACTCTAATACTACCTCCGTTTCTCAAAAGAGTTCCTCTTTTGACTTTGGAGGAAATAAGGAAGTGTTAAATTGTAGTTGACTTTCCAATTTTGCCCTTGATGTGATGGGTAAAAGTAAGATGTGATAATTTAGTTGTTAGTGAAAAGTATGATGTGATAGGTAGTGTATGAAAAAGTATGGGTAAAAGTAGTTTTTTAATAGAAAGGGGAAGTTTTTAAGAAAAACAAAAAAAAAGAGGAAAGGTTTTTAAAAAAACGGATGGAGTATATATTATATAATACTAATTCTAGTCCAAAATCCAAATACACTCCTTTAATTAATTAGTTATTTAATTAAATTAACTTCATGAGTTTGAAATTTATTTGGACCCGTTCCACTCATTGTTTTTTGTTAGATGGCTAGATATATCTTTTTTTTTTGAAAGAAATGTCACCATATTCCCCTTCTTATGTTTGCGATTAGGACAAAGCAGGACGACTCTAATCCGTCCCGTTTTATTCCGATCCCGAATTTTATGGGACAAACCAGGATTAGATTGTAATCCAAACCGTTCCGGACCATTTATATATAATGGGACAAGACGTGGGACAACCTAAAATCCGGACCGTCCCGATCCGTGCCCACCTCTAGTATATTTTATGAAAAATATAATTTACAAATTTTGAGTAATGACAATTTTAAAATACGGAGTATTAAAATATGTAATTTGTATAAAATCAATAAATTATTTATAATGTGAACTCTTGAAAAAATGATTTGTTGGAATAAATCATTAGATTGAATAATATTAATTGAATATGAGAATATTTTTTTATTATATGTCAATTAAATCAATTTTGACTCTGTCAAAATCAAACACCCAAAAATATGATGTCAGAAAAAGTATCTTAAAAAATGTGGAAATTATATTGTTGCATAAAACTTGACTGAGTGATCGCAACGGTGCAAATGAATTTTAATTTGGAGAAGGTTGGACCAAACAATGCATCAAGATAAATTAACCAAAATAGTGGGGGAATTAAAATATTCGCCCGCCTCGCCCGCCTCCTCCATTAAGCTGATCCTTTGATCGACGAATCACCCATGCACATCTCTCTCTCTCTCTCACTCAGAGGCTTGTGCCTCTCCCAATATCACACTAATCTTCTTCATTGTTCTTCCTATAGTTTCATTAGAGTATAAAAAATAGGGCGCAAGCGACAATAAGCTAGGGTCACTACTAGAAATTCGCATATTAGCTGCGAAATATTAGCGGCTGACTCGATTTTGCCGCAAACATCCGGTGGACTTTTTCCTCGCTACTAAGAAATGAGCGATTGATATGGGTGGGATGATGGGCTGGATTCGGGACTAGGTGGGGGAGGGGGGTTTATCGAAATGGTTAGAAAGAATAAAAATTATCAATTTTGCGAACAGAGTAATATCTTGCGTAGCCACTCAAAGTGAGTGATAATAAAACCGAATCGCATCTTACCCCAATTAAACCAACACAATTGTACTTTTAAAGTTTAATCACGAACTTGGAAAATATTTCATATAATTTTTGAAATGACAAATTCTATGATGGATGTAAAGCCCATCGTAAACTTATATATGAGTAAAATAAGTTTTTTTTAGAAGATCCAGACTAGGGATGTAAACGAACTGAATCGAAGCGAATATCGATATATTTGAATTTGAATTTGTTTAATTTTTTCGAATACGAATCCGAATTCGAATATGAGACGAATTCAAAATAAGATTTGAATAAGTATTTGATTAATATTCGAATAGTTATGAATCATAAACAAATATTCGAATAATCATACTATGTAATTTATATGATGGACCAACATCAATTTGTAATTTAACTTACGATATTCTTTATACTATACTATATTCCGCATATAACTATTAAAAATCATATGCTTTAGATTTTCGTGTTACGTTAATTTCTTGAATTCTTAGTATTTTAAATACACTTTATACTATATTACTTTGCTTGACTTTTGATGTTGAAAACATGGTCTGTGTATATATACATATATTCGAATATTCGAATATCATCCGAATTGAATATATCCCTATTTGTATTTGTATTTGATTAATATTCGAATCAAAAATAATATTTGAATTTGAATTTGTATTTGAATAACACGAATTCGAATCATCATATTCAAATACGAATCGCGAATCGAATTTAAAATATTTGATTTGTTTACCTCCCTAATCCACACCACCCAGCACTCTTTTGAAATTTCCGTTCACCAACTACAATCAGGGAGACGGGCCCTGCTCGCTCGTGGGGGCCCAACAAGCGCGCTCCGATTACCACATCCGAACCTGGAACCGATTAGGCTCGGTTGTTCCTAACCAAAAATTTGAACTTTTATAACGTTAGTCGATGCCAGCAATATATGGACAATGATGCCCCTATCCTTTCCGTACCCTCCGTTTTAACCAAAATCATTTTTTATCTAAGCACAACTGTTTTCATTGATTTCTTTATGTGGAAGGACTAAAGCAATACTCGTTAAAATATTTACTCTGAATTTTAAATACTCTGGGTATCAAAATACAGTATTTGTCAAATTATGCAAAATGAACTAAAATTTTATTTAATGTGGCGGCGATAATTTTTTAGAACAGAGAGAGTATATAGCTTTTTTAGTTTTAATTATGTCAAATCTGCCGCTCCCTATATAGATTCAATTGTATATGGAGTAAAAAAATAAGTTGTGTGCAATTTGATTCTTTTGACAATTAAAATGAACAAGCTTTAATCCTTATTTAATCGAGAATTACAAAACATAAACATTGTATTACTCCGTATATACTACGGAGTATGCATTTATATAAAAAATGATTTAGGGCCTGTTTGGGAATAGCGTTAGCGTTTTGAAAAGGCTATCTACGGGCAGCGTTTAGCGTTAGCGTTTTCAAAGTAATCTGCACCGTTAAAATTTTATCCAAAACGCTAACGCTAATCTCTAACGCTATTCCCAAACAGACCCTTAGTTTCATTTAGTTTTAAAATTATTTATTTTATTTTATTGACATATATTAATATAACATTTATTTGATTGATAACCAAAACATGTCTAATTTAACTACAAAAACTCAAACCATTTTAATACTGTGAGAAAAGAATGGAATACATTGGATAAGATCTGCATGCTCCATATTTATATTAAAAAAATGTTCTAAATTGTTCGCGCTTCTATAATTAATGATATCGTAGCTAGCCATGCAATCAATACAACTTCGACGTTGAGTCAAGGGTTTCTTTAAAAACAGTCTCAATACTTTCGAGTAGAGATAAAGTCTGCATATACATGACCTGTAATTTCAACAACAAAAAATATGTAGCTTAAGTTCACATATATATTATAATTAGTCATCCTCCTAGCTATTTTTGGAAAGCTAGTCATCATATATTCTGCTACTTAATTAACAAATGGAGTGATTAAACAATCGAATATGAATGAATGTTTAATTTGATGTGGTTGTTGATGTTGTTGTGTTGATTGACTTATTTTGAAATCATGCATGCATGAACATATATATGGATTTTTTCATTTCATTTCGTCACTATTATTATGTCTATATGTGTAACAGTGTAATTAATTAGTTATAAAGTGGGCAGGCATTAATATGTAAACTGCGATCAATTCAACAAAACCTGATAGCAGTGTCCCATCTTAATAACTAATTGAACCTCACATTTTAATAATTATTACTCCGGTATAATATTATTATAATATATTAAAAAAAGTATTCCTCCGGTTCGCCCAATAATTTTTTTTAAATATATTCAAAAAATATGCTTAAAAATGTGTAATTTTAATATTATTTATTTTGCAAGTTTTCCGGTACATACAATAAGACAGGATATAAATTTTGCATATATAGATGAATCATAATTAGAAAATAATTAATATCTACATTACATATTATTTTTAAGGCACACCTTTTGTCATCCTTGAAAAGTTTTACATTCCGTAGAACAAAGAGAGTACTATTTGGTGGTTTCCAACATTAAGTAATTATATGGTTAAAAATTCATATGTAGACCATACGTAGTGGTTCACGCTCCATTGGAACATTTTTTGCCACGTAGATGATATGCAAGTAGAATCATATTGAAACAAAAAGATGTGTAGTGGTTGATGTTACTTTCAAGTCCCTTCATTATTACGCGATGAATTTTGCGTGAAGAAATTGGTTTAAGGGGGAGTTATTTTTTGTGAAATTTGCACTAAATAAGACTAAAACATAATGACTTTCCTAATGTAGGACTTAAACTTTTTTATTCCCTAAATAGGACTTAATAATGACTTCGTGGGAGGAATAATGTCCAGTAATGCTAGACATTACTTGAATAATGACTACTTGTTAATGACCAAAAGTCCTACATTGGGAAATAAAAACATATAGTCCTATATTGGGAAAATCGTTATGTTTTAGTCCTATTTAGGTAAATTTTTCTTGTTTTTTTAGTTTTATGAGTATAAAAAAAACTAATGCCTACCGCGACACATACATAGAAATAATGACATTTTTTTGGCGTGATGGTCGGTTTTGATGCCACACTATGCTTGATCTAATAAACTTCTTCTGTTTTTAACTTTCCTTAAAAAGCGTAAAAGTTAATTTGAAAACATTGTCTGAATAAATTTGTCACGTGGAAGTAGAAATTAAATGTTTCCAATGATATTTAAAGCTTAATAAACACGTGAAGGACATATATAGTGATCTTTCATTTGAGAGATTTACAATTATGTCATGCCACCACAAAATGTTCGACAATAGCATTTTATATAAAATTAAACAAGCTAAGCTAGAATAAATAAAAAACGCATTTACAACTATAAAAAAGTATTTACATGTAATGTACTCCGTAATTAATTTTTGTTTATATACGTCTAAGATCCAAATTAATTTTTTTTAATTTTTTTATATCTTAAAAAGGGCCTAATAGTAATTATAATAAATAAAGTATAAATTGAAAACAAAACAAAAAATATTTTGAAGAACACAATTTCCACTTTTATCAAGTGACGTTCTCGTAAATGCCACAGGAAAAAGAGCGCGGAAATGAATGAAGTCACGCACCCCACCGGACAGCGCGGTGGCGAAGCGTGACTCCGACGCGCTGGGTAACGAATTGATATTCAAAAATTAAAGAATCCCACGGAAAGAAAGGAGGCAAACGAGCCATAAGGCTCGGAACGAGGCTGGGAGATGACGTGGCCTGGCCCTATTCGTGGAAAAAAAGAAAGAGAAATACTGTAGATTTCTTCTAAGAAACACGAGCATGCTTTTCCGCTCAATAAATAAAAAGCCTATCATTTTTCATCACTGAGACTTTTGTGTTGTAAAGCAAAATCCCAAATCCCAGCGGAGACGACGACGACGAAGCACAGTTCCCACTTCTCTCACCTAACAACGGTCTTCTTCTTCATCATCTTCTTCCGCATTTCGAGTTCAAATTTGATTTGAATCGCCGCCTCCTTGATTCGAATCCTGCAATGGCGGCTGACGGAGCATTGTCGTACTCGGTGGCGTCCCTGGTGGAGGATGTGCTCCAGCAGCACGGAAGCCGACCCCGCGGCCTCGATTTGGACGCTCGTCGCGCCGAAGAAGCTGGTAATGTTTCGTTTTTCTCATTTCCGACTCCGTTCGATGTGATTCCGTTAGTTTTTTATGAGCTTGATATTTGGGTTTTAAAGATCTAGATGAGAAGGTCATTGGTAGTCTAGCTGGAATGCAGTGTCAGTTATAGTGTATTGAAATTGCAGAATTGATGAGCTTGGTTTTATGCAGCAATGAGGAGGTATGAAGCAGCACAGTGGCTGAGAAATATGGTGGGAGTGGTGGGAGGGAAAGATTTGCCAGCAGAGCCATCGGAAGAGGAATTCCGGGTTGCTTTAAGGAACGGAATCATTCTCTGCGGCGCACTCAATAAGATTCAACCTAGCTCCGTGGTCAAGGTAGATTCAATTTCACATGGAGTTTTAAATCTCTTTCGTTTTTCAACCAATTGAAATTGAGCTGAACTTGATCTACCCATTACCCAATTCTAGGTGGTTGAGACTCCGTGTGATGCCATGCTCATCCCCGATGGAGCTGCGTTGTCAGCCTATCAGTACTTTGAGAATTTGAGAAACTTTCTTGTAGCAGTGAATGATTTGGGAATCCCTAGCTTTGAAGCATCTGATATGGAGCAAGTATGTGTACTTCCTGCAATGTGAAAGCATAGACTGAAAAGACTCCATTCTTTAAAATATATTAATTTGATTGCGTTTTGACAATTGATACTCAGTCTGAGAAATGCAAGTGTTACTCTTTCTTTTTTCTTGATAGTTTTCTGTTAACGGGTTGAGCAACTAGGAGTGTGACACTAAATTTGGTAATTTATCAGGGAGGGGCATGCTCCAGGATTGTCAACTGTGTTTTGGGCCTCAAATCATTTGCTGAATGGAAACAAACAGGTGCAACGCCTGTTTGGAAATTTGGAGGAAATGCAAAACCAACTGCATCCGCAAGACAAATCATGCGAAAAAAATCTGAGCCATTCATGAACTCATTGTCAAGGGCTGTGTCAATGAATGATCGGTCTTTGACTGCTTCAGAGGCTGAGACTGAGAGAAATACAATGGTAGGTAAGACTTGCCTATTGAGATAGGATCATGAACTGCTAAACTCGCGGGATTATATGTTGAAGCATTTCTTTCTGTGCAGCCTACTTTGAGCAACCTTGTTCGTAGAATTCTGTCAGATAAGAGGCCTGAAGAGGTTCCAAATGTAAGCTCCCAAATGCTCGCATTTTTTCTTCTACTCTGTTGTCAATTTTTAGTTTTATGAATGGAAAACAGAAAACCATTGGCAACTCATACAAATCATGTTAATTTTGAGAACTGCCAATAGAAAACAGAAAACCATTCAATCTGGTTTCCAAAATCTAGTTTTTACTTTCAACAAAAAAGAAACTTCAACTTGAAACCACCCCAAACAGGTCGGCAAACTATAAAAACTTACATTGTTGTGTTTGTGCCAAATTTTGGACTCCATTGTTGAAGTTACCGCTGGCTAGCTAAAATATTTTGTTCATACCCTCATTAGTGGGTGGTATATCCATTGACTCTGAGTTTGAGCAACTTTTTGTTTGCAACAGCTTGTAGAGTCTATATTAAAGAAGGTTGTTGACGAGTTTGAGCAGCGTGTGGCTAGCCAAAGTGAAGCAGTAAGTTACTTTTTCCACCCTTTTTAATAAGTGATGGTTCTTGGCGCCATTGTGCATTATTTTCCTTTGTGGCTGCTCAACTTCTTGATTTCATTTATTAGTTCAAGACTTCATCATATTCTGACTTGTTCTTTACATATATACAGCAAAGCAGAGCAACTTCCAATGACTCAATTCGGTCTCTTGCTTACAAAGGAACCTCTATAAATAACTCTAGGAACACAAAGGTATCGTATTTATCTTATTCTGATCCCAAGTTTAAGATTTTCTTAGTAATTTTATTGGAAAAGAGTAGCTAATGAAATATTGAAATATGATAGCTCGTGTTTGATTTTCTTTTATTTTTTGAACTAGGTTGAACAAGCTAATACGGCAATGGTGAAAAAAGAGGATGCCATTAGTGACTTAGAACTTAAAACAAGATGCACAAGTCACCAAACAATTGTTGATCAACAACAAAGAGATCTTAAGGTGAGAAGTAATGACTAATTCTCGTCTTTATTTAGCCTTTTTTCCCACAAAGGAGAAAATTTTGGTGCAAACAATCTAAGGTGGAAATTTGCTGTAGGAGCTTAAACAAACTCTGTGTACTACAAAAGCAGGCGTACAGTTCATGCAAAAGAAGTTTTATGAGGAACTCCAGAATATTGGTAAGTGACCTGTACTGCAAGCAAGTTTACATTTTTACGTGGCTGATCTGGGTTTCTTTCTCTCTAGTCCTATAGTGAGCATGTTTTTCCATCCAATAACATCCCCTCTTTGTAGGCCAACACATACATGGCCTAGCACATGCAGCTTCAGGCTATCATAGAGTTCTTGAAGAAAACCGTAAGCTTTACAATCAAGTCCAAGATCTTAAAGGTAGTAGAAATTCTTTCATGAGATTCTTATCACACATGGTTTTTAAGCATCGAAATTAAAAGGTTACACTTTGTATTCAACCAGGAAGTATTAGGGTCTATTGCAGAGTAAGACCTTTCTTACATGGGCAACCAAGCCATTCAAGTATCATAGATGACATTGAAGAAGGTACAATTACAATTCACGCTCCAACAAAGTATGGGAAAGGAAGCCGGTCTTTCAATTTCAACAAAGTGTTTGGACCATCTGTAACTCAAGGTTGGTTTGCAGTTCGTAGGAGTCTTTATGATTTTAACATCATATCGTTTCTCAATTCTCTTCTTGGTGTTCTCTACATCATGCTTTCTTTTTCATTTTCAGGGGAGGTATTTGCAGATATGCAACCACTAATCAGATCAGTCTTGGATGGGTTCAATGTTTGTATCTTTGCTTATGGTCAAACAGGGTCAGGGAAAACTTATACCATGGTTAGATATGAAAACTTCTTTATGACTAGTATCTAGTTTTTTTGGCACTCTCCACTTACATGTTCTCCTGGGCTTTTCAGAGTGGACCTAAGGATCTCAGTAAACAAAATGAAGGGGTAAACTACAGGGCTTTGGGAGATCTGTTTCTACTTGCAGAGCAAAGAAAGGACACATTCCATTATGATGTATCTGTTCAAATGATAGAGATTTATAATGAACAAGTCAGGGACCTCCTTGATTCTGATGGTCTGAACAAACGACTAGAAATCCGTAGTTGCTCTCAAGGACTCGCTGTGCCTCATGCAAGTGTCGTTCATGTAAGTACAACTTCAGATGTTATAGATCTGATGGATTTAGGGCAGAGGAACCGGGCAGTAGGGGCAACAGCACTCAATGACCGCAGTAGCCGCTCTCACAGGTGATGAATGATGCCTTTTTTCCACACAAAAAAAAAAGAAATAAAAGAAGTCATGTTGTAAAAAAATCTTGTCCAAAAAAAAAGTCATGTTAAAGCAAAACTGTTTTTGATACAATATTTCAAAAGGAGACATGAGGAAGTCTTTTACTATGACTATCACTTTCATCGTTCATTTTGAACTTCTTTTATTGGTCATGCCAATTTTTGTAGTTTTGCATTTGTGCAGTTGCTTAACCGTTCATGTACAAGGAAAAGACCTAACAAGTGGAACAATCCTCCATGGTTGTATGCATTTGGTTGATCTTGCTGGAAGTGAGAGGGTGAACAAATCTGAAGTAACAGGAGATAGACTTAAGGAGGCACAACACATAAATAAATCTCTTTCAGCTCTTGGTGATGTCATATCTGCCCTTGCCCAAAAGAACACACATGTCCCTTACCGGAACAGTAAACTTACCCAACTTCTCCAAGATTCTCTAGGTAAAGACATGATGTAAAGCAATGTATTAAGTTCCTGTGCTGATTTGTCAAAATAAGTATCTCTACTGGTTTTTTCTTCATGCAATCCTTCACGTACCATCTAATCCGTGGTTTGTGTTAAAACTAAAATGATAGGAGGTCAAGCCAAAACACTTATGTTTGTCCACATAAGCCCCGAACCTGAAGCGTTAGGAGAAACAATCAGCACACTAAAATTTGCAGAACGAGTTGCGACAGTGGAACTTGGTGCTGCCAGAGTAAATAAAGATTCCGCTGATGTAAAAGAGCTTAAGGAACAGGTAATGTTTCATCTTCATTTTCTTCAAGATCTTAAATTCACAAGAAAAATAGATTGCTAGTTGCTAGTCAATTTCACATATGAGAAAGTGCATTGATTTTTCAGATTGCTTCTCTGAAGGCTGCCTTAGCAAAAAAGGAAATGGAACCAGTGCATCAAAAGATGCCACACAGTCCATGTAACATGCCGGTTGGATCTAACAATAGGAAACCAATGGAGGAAGTAGGCAACATAGAGGTAAAAACACACACTGATATCATTTCAACTTTTGGTTTAAAAAAAAACTCAGGATAGATACTCTCTCATCCCATAAAAGAATCATGTTTGTTATTGTTACTTCGTAATCCACTTTGATCAAACAAAACTAATTTTTTATTTAGTTTGCCAAAGACAAGTTACTTATAAAAGCATAGTTAAACAAACAAATTCATGACCTTACAAATATTTAAAACTTAAAAGTTTTAACTTTGTCAAATATATCTTCTTTTTCTAGAAGAGGGGAGTATGTTAATATAGGCATATAGCTACAATTTTTTTTATTCCCACAGGTGAACAACTCTTCACCATGGCAAAAGAGACAACAAAGTCTTGATCTTGAAGAAGATATATATGGAAATTCTCCTCTCTGGCCACCAGTCAACAGTCCTGGAGGGGCTTATTTTTTGGATGATAGGGACATTTCGACGGGGGAGTGGGTGGACAAGGTCATGGTCAACAAGCAGGAACCTACACCTGGAGTAAAAAACCCGCTTGGCGGTTGGGAAGCAGAAAATGGTGAGGTGCATAGCATTCTTCACCAGAAATACGTCTCAGAAAATTCGCACAATCTTTTCCCATCAGCCAATCAGTTTGACAGTACTGCAACTGATGACTTGGAAGAGCTTGGTCCTGCAACTAGTGATTCATCTGATCCAGATTTCCTTTGGCAACTCAATCGTCACTCGAAGCTTAGTAGTGTGGCCACTGGGGTCGGGTCAAAGATCCCAAAACCAAGCACAAAAACAGCAAAAAGCCCAAACTCTGGGGCCTCGGCTCATAAAACAGGCTCGAGAAAGAAAAATGGGATTGCCCAATATTCTCAGCTTAGCGGAAGACTGGCAACTCCAGTTGAAATGAAACGCAAATCTGGGAGCCGGAAGTAGGGGAGGGGAAGTCACTGATTGTGAGATATGCTATTTTTAAAATCTTTCTTGTTCTTCACATTGTTTATTGGGAGTTGAGTGACAACAAGGTCCAATGTATAGTGTTTTTCAATCATGCTACCCTTCTCCACGTTCTCATTTTCTGTTTACATTTGTTGGCTGCTTCTAACAGAAGCACAGGTCATGAAATAGAGCTCTTTGAAGCTTTTTCTTGTAAATTTCATCAATGTATACACTTTTGGGCATTTCTAATGAAAATGGTCTGATGTTTTATCATGGTTGTCAAGTCGTCGCCTAGGCGTCGACTAGTCGGCGACTAGTCGTCCGGTCGTTTTGGAGAAGGAGAAATGCTGGGCGACCAGCGCCTATGGCCGACTAGGCTTCTAAGCGCGCTAGGCGACGCTTAGCCGCGACTAGGCCACGCCTAGTCGGAGAAAGAAATCCGCAGAATTTGACCTAGTGACCCGACCCAACCCGACCTGACCCGACCCAAATTTCATTAATTTTAAAATTTTTTAACAAAACGCTCCTTCGGCTGCCTCCTGCGACGCAATCCGCACACAATCAAGTCGTCTTCCAGTTCCGGCGTTCCTTCCGCGACCGCGACTTCCAGGCCACCAGCGAGGCAGCGACTATCAACCATCCGATTATCTTCCAATGACTCTAAGTTTTCTTATAGTTTGTTATCATTAAAGTATTTCTTTTAATTTTTTTTCTTAAACTGAAATAGTCGGATGATACACTTGAAAAAGTCGGATGTTATCATTAATTTTTTCTTTTAAAAAATTGAAATCTTAAACTGAAAAATTAAAATTTAATTTTCATTGATTTGATTCATTAAACAATAAAGTATGATATACTTTAAAGTTTTCAGTTTTTTTTATTTTTTTAATATTTCAGTTTTTTAAGTTTAATTTTTCAATAAAGTATTTCAATTTTATTTTCAGTTTAATTTTTCAATTTTTTTCTGAATTTAATTGATATTTTGGTTTTGTATTTCTTATTTTAATATTTTAAGCGTTCTAGGCTCTTGTTAATTATCTTTCTTGGTGTGTTATTTTTCAAGATTGAAGGATATTTGCTTGTTATGTACTCTTTGTTGACTTTATGTGCTATCTTTAAACATAAATTTGCTTTGGTTATGGTATTTTGACATATAAATATATATATTTTCTTGTTGGGTTAATGTAGATATATATAATGTTAAAAATTTCAATACTAATTATGATTTGTCGACTAGTCTACGACTAGTCGCCTAGTCCACTAGTCTCCTCGTCACCGACTCGACTCGACTTGTCGACTTGACAACCATGCGTTTTATACTCCGGTCCTAAAAACCTTTCCTTTTTTGATTTTTTTGGTTAAATAGTGACACTCTTTGACTATAAATTGTGAGAAAAGTATATTTAGTTATTGTATAAATTCAATATAATTGTGTTCATCTTAGCATATAGTTTTGATATATCCTTTAGTAAATTTTGCACCAAATAGGACTAAAACATAATAACTTTTCCAATGTAGGACTTAAACTTTTTTATTCCCTAAATAGGATTTAATAGTGACCTAGTAGGAAGAATAATGTCCAATAATGATCGACATTTACTTGAATAATGACTACATGATAATGACCAAAAGTCCTACATTGAGAAATAAAAACATATGGTCCTATATTGGGAAAGTCATTATGTTTTAGTTCTATTTAGGTAAATTTCTCTATCATTTATTTATTAAGATTATGTTTAATCTTTTCCTGTGTTTTTTCTAATACTCCCTCCGTCCCAAATTATTTGCCACATTTGTATTCCCGAGGCAAAATATTATATTTTTTCAATTCATTTTATTTACATATTGGTAAAGAAATAAAAAATAAAATTTATATATATAAAAACTACATGAAAAGTTCTTCGAAATAAGAGGTGTCAAGAATATTTTATTTTATCAAATAATCAATGAAAATGTCGAAATCAACAAAAGTTCCCGACACTGCTGAAAAAGCAAATGTTGTGAATATTTAGGGACAGAGGGAGTATTATTTTTCAACCAAAAAGAACAAAACCTTAGTCATTCTAGCCGAATTCCCACTGCGGCAAAAAAGTCTCTCAGCTTTGTGCAAATTGCAGGTGTGTCAGATACTGCTCTGCATTTCTTTGTTGGTGTGAGTTGAGATAAAAATGATGAATGTAACTAATGAACACAAAACCAGTTGGGATGACAGATAAAACCACTTTCAGTGAAAGCAAATGCTTTCCAACTCAATGATGTTTAGGTTTTACAGATCCAGAAGTTCAAAAAGTACTTAATTGGGGGAAAGTGCTTTTCTAAAAGTCGTCCCAAAAAGTCACTTAATCTTTTCCCCAGCCAGATAACAACTGTCACAAGAAAAAAACGGCTTTAACCTTTTATTGCTTGAATTACAGAAACACCTTTCACATCACAATGTAAAACCAAACAATCATGAACAGTTTCCATGCCCAAATTTACAAATGTAATATTGGAGCAGAAAATAAAATGTACTCTCTCGGGTATATATATATATAAAAATATAAAAACCAAGTAAATGTGAAAAATGGACTGCACTACCAAAACTTTTCTTACACGCAATGAGAAGCAATGCTGTACAGAAGACAATGCAAAGCCATCCCAGATAAATCTTTACCTGCTTGAAGTTGACTTTTGCAATTATTCCAAGATTATGCACCCCCAAAAGAATGTGTGTCTCTACTTGGTAGAGATTCAATGCACTGAACAGGTTCCTATGCACATGGTTTACATGTCTGCAAGTTGGCTAAATGTGTGTGGCTGCTGCAGGGAGAAGCAAGCTGAAGATGAACTGGAAAGCTCTGGGCATGGTTCGGGTGACACGCCAGATGAGAAGCCAGAAACATCAGAGCAAATCCATGGGTTTGATTGGGAAGAAGATGAAACGGAAAAGGAGATGCCCGAAAGGCAAAAGGAAGCGAAGGGCAATTCGGATAATCCCTTGAAATTTCCCGCCGTGGAGATATCTTTGCCACTCATGTCTACAAATGCAATATTGCTGACCGCGGGGAGGGCATTTCGGTCATATGTGTCATCGGGATGAGATTCGTCATAACTTGTGGCATTAATTCCCACCCAAACATTTTCCATCACTATATGAGTGAATAGAATGTCCTTTATATAACCTCCCCTTCCTCTTGCTGTCTTCAGCTCAATCCCCATTGAAGAGTCATGCAAGTAAATGTTCTCCACAAGCACACCTGAGATGCCGCCGGACATCTCACTACCGATGGCCACTCCTGCACCTTTGCTAGACTGCAAGCGGACCCCACGAATGTGGACATTTGTGGTTGGTCTCCCGTAGGCAATGCCATACTGGTCCCACCCGCTTTTGAGTACAACCGCATCATGGCCCATGCTGATGTTGCTATTCTCGATGCATACATGTTCCGAAGAATCTGCAACGACTTTAACTTTGTCACCATAGGGAAATCGATCAAAGCATTTGAACAACTTTTTTATAGATAAGTTCCATTTATCATTTTTTGATAAGCTATTGTAAGATTTTTAGGGTTTCAAAGTGCAAGTGCCTTAACATGTATGCTTGAGGTGTGTCTCGCTTAAACAAACCTGGAACGATGCCATTGGTGTATGGTGACTTGGATGGAGAATAAATCGTTATGTTCTGAACAACAACATTACTGCAAAATATTAAGCAAATCTTAGACATCCACTATACACTAAGGGTCTGTTTAGATGGAGGGTTTTGGTAATGAAAGTTTGAGAGAGCACTTAGTCTCTATATCTTGTCATTAAAAAAAAGAATGTTTTATAAAATGGAATAAAAGGTACTTCCTCTTCCCATTGTCCCAAAATCATCTTCCTATTCTCCATTTTTTGTTGTACCAAAATCATCTGTTGATAATTTTGAACTAGCAAAATGACACTTTTTCCCTTTGAGTACCCAACATGAACTCTACCCCAAATCTTATTATATAGTCATTTTTTAGGTAAAAAAACATTTTTTAACAAAATTTTCAGCCAAATCTTAATCCCGTGTCATTTTCACATGAGAAGTTCTTTTCAGGACAAATGGAGAAATTGAAATGTTATACGATCACATATTATCTTAATCTTTAATTACTACGGAGTTTTTTTTAATCTCAAATATCAAGTCTTCCGAAACCCATACAAGAAAGCTTCCATTTAAACAGACCTTAAAGATGGCAACACCAGACCCATAAGTTCTAACCATTTACACAACTACTAGGAACATACTGTATGCAGCAAAAAGAGTACCTGCAATATGCTGGATGAATGTTCCAAGCAGGAGCATTCAAAAAGGTCAAGTTCGAGATAACAACATTGCTGCAACTAATAAACTCTACTAGATGTGGTCGGCTGTAATTCAAGGCATGCACATCAAACTGATCCCACCAAACAGAACCTTGGCCATCAATAGTTCCATTGTTTCCTGCTTAATGTCATGACAATTGCAAAATGTAAATAACTACATGACTATTCGTAGCAGTTGCACAAAATATAAATGTATGATTGGAGCTAGGAAATGGAAAAGAAAACTGCAAGGGAAGTTATTTTCTTGTGTTTGGTTTTACCTACGAAAATGCTAAAGAAACAGGAAAATGATTAATATTTTAAATTTATCAGCATATGCTTATTTTTTTATAGTATTCATATAATAGAAGGGGTTTTCTATATTTCTCTCGTGAGGCACACAATAAGAATAAATTAATGACTAGTTACGTCTTAAAGTATCCTTGATAATGTGATAAAGATAAAAATTTTAGTGATAATTAAGGCAGACATTTCTTGCCTGTTATCGCAACATCAACTAAATTGTTTCCGGCAATCAAACTTCGATATCTTTGTCCCGGTACATCAGTACCTCTCCCATAAGATGGTAGAGGATCAATTATATCCCAATGAGTGTAATCCTGGAGCATAGAGACAGAAGAAAGGTAAACTGTCATAATTATCACAAAACAACATTAGTAACTGCAACTTTATTTGCAGTAGAATTGCCATTGGGTCGATGGTAAGATTTAGGGTACGTTTCTATCCCTGAAAGTGCCAGTGAAAAGGAAAACAACACTGTGAAGTGATTTTCTTTGTCATATAGACAACTACATTTAGGGTATGTTTAGATTCCTATTCTTTATAATATAGACATAAGTAAATAACGGAAATACCAAAAAAATATCCAAAATAAATTAATTCCCTGCTCAACCTATGTTTTCCTTCCCTTTTTTACTAATATTTTCCGGGTTTCAAACAGGTACTAAGGTAAAAGAATCCTATTCCAGTAATTAACTGTAAAAATTTACCACAAGATAGCAGAACAAGTGAACAACACATAAGATGTGTTCTTCTTGAGCTGGGATGATTTTAGTACTAACCTCTGATCCGAGGATAACGGCATCTTTTTCCAGGAATAGTGTGAGGTGGCTGGTGAGATTAATACTTCCAGTCAGCCACCTTCCGGCTGGAACATAGAGTTGTGCACCACCTTTGTCTGCAAATGACTTGAGATAAAATATTGCATTCTGAAACGCGACAGTGTTTAAAGTTTTCCCATCCCCCACAGCACCAAAGTCCAATACGGATGCTCTGTGAGGTCTTGGTTTCAAAGGATTAAAGAAGGTGCATTCTCCCGGTGTTTGAGCTCTAGCGTGTTCTATACTCTCATTCAAAACCAGCAACAAAAGGAGGACTGCCTGAAGAAGAAGAAGGGCAGATAAAGAGAGACATTTAACAGAAAATAAGCAATTCACTAGTTGTTATCCATGGCTAGAGCAAACAGGAAAATGTTGAAACAATAAAAGAATCATACCGTCAAAAGAATTGGAAATGATCTGTTATCAACACATGAGGATGTTGAAATGCCATATTCATAGAAACAAGAAAATACAGGACCTGTTTGGTAGTAGTTATTTGGCTGCAGTGTCTGCAAAACTTTCTCTTGGAAACAACCTCTATACATACCCTCCTCGGACCCTACTTCTTATGGGATTCTATTGGGCTTGTTGTCTTTGATTACATCTACAAAACTTTATTTATGAACCTAAATAAACCTTACCATTAATATTGGTTTTGCTTGGCATTGTGATCGGGAAGTGTTTATTGCTTATTGCTTCTCCAAGCACAAGTTGATTCTAATTGCTTCTACCAAAACCTGTAGGGAGAAGCATCAATTTGATGCGTATTGCTTACAGAATAAGCAATGCCAAACATGCTGATGACCAGACACTTTTTTAAAATAAAAATAAGGCATTGCGATGAAATGCTATCCGGAAGATAATTGTCACTCAATTGGAATTTTGGCCAATGAGCAGATCAGAATATGGTGACAGGTTCTACCAAAATGAGCTCAAGTGTCAAAAACTCCACCAAACACAAATAAACTAAATCTAGCTATCTAAGTATATAAAACTGAACCAAAATGGACGGGACGACGTATAAGGCTTAATGAACGACATGAGAATAATGAAGCTTGATTGAACAGTGGGCAACAATTCGCTTCATATTTAAAAGAGAGAGAGGTTAAACAAATCAAAGTTGGAGGAAACCATATTTACAGATCAATGCATAAGTAATATAAAATCCTTAATTTCCCAGCCTTTTGAAATACAGCGGGCTATAACAAAAAAAAGAATCTTTTAATTTGCAGCAATAGCAGACTTAGCAGTATGACACACTGGAGAGAAAGTGTTGAACATAAAAAACAATCCAGAAGGACAAAAGATGAGAACAGATCAGCTCAGCCTCAAAAGAAACCCCCAAAATTGGAACCTTTCACCCAAAGATTCATGCCAGACTGTAGAATTCATGATAAAAAAGTATCCAGAGCTTCAAAATGGAGTAAGAACAAAACAAAAAAATAAAAGAACCCAGAAAAGAAAAACATACTTACTAGCCTCTTCATGGGTTTCCTGGATTTCTCCTGCATTCTAAAGGAGACAAAAAAAAAGAAAGGAAGAAGAAGTCCACTGTTCAAAAGAATGGAGCAGATTGAAGAATGGACAGAGCGGGTCTCCGGAATGGAATGATGCTGTCAGTGTAAAATGCGAGACTGAGAAACGATGATAGGTAATTAAGGGGAAAAATTGATTATTTTAGGAAAAATAATTAATAAAAACGGATGGTAAGAGAAACGGACAGCGAAGAATGAGAAAGAGACAGCTTTCTTCGTTCCGCTCTGTCCGCTACCCATTACATATACGGAGAAAAACTCCAAAATCAAATCTTTTCCCACTTTTACTCCTCTAATAAGCTAGTTTGTGCTCGTGGTCATTGTGTAGTTAGCAAGTTAAGAGAGAAAAGGGGATAAGATTCGAGTTAGATTTCTAACAATTGTGATGGGAGGTAATTATACTAAGCATAGAATGTGCAAAGTTATACTCTTTGCCACCAATTTACGATTAAAATTCAACTTACCTCTTCTCATTGACTAATTCTTGAAACTCATACACGAAACTTACTGGTTTTGATTTTGGGTTGCACAAGGAAGAAGAACAATTGAGAGAGAAGTGATGATTTTGAGTTCAGAGCTTCAAACTCGGTGACGGGTTTGGAAATAAGTACAATAGGAGGAATGAAGTTTAATCGAGGAGAGAGAACAATGTGAATTTATAATTTTATCCATGCATGCTCTTAACGAGACTGTTAAAAAAGACTGTTTTTGGAAGACAATATAATAATTAGAGACTAAATTATTCATATTTGATATGTGGAGACTAAATATGAAAAATGATCTATAATTGAGATCTTTTATGAAATCACTCTTATTTGTTCATCCTTTCATAAATGTTAGTCTGTTTATCTTTTTTTATTTCAGGCATATCTAAATAAACATTTTAATTTTAATTTTTCAATCACGCTATATATGTATGCGTGTGTGTGTATATATATATATATATATATCCAAGAATTACAAAATAAATTTTGACTATACATTTTAATTTTAACATTTAAAAAAAAACATTTTTTAAACGAGAGAAAAGGCGCGGCACAAAATTGTGGATCGTGTGTGTGCAAGGGCAGGGGAGTCTCCTGAGACTCTGAGAGACATGTGCTTTGCGCAGGACAGGCCCCATGTCCAATGATGTGGTCTAGTCTTGTAGACTTGGACTTGCTAGCCTGGTAGCCAGCTGCCACATGTGTTTATAAAATCCCTCTATCAACAAAAATACTCTCTTCATTCCTAAATATTTGTCACATTTGTATTCCCGAGGCATAATATTAAGTTTTTTTTAATTCATTTTATTTACATATTGGTATAGAAATAAAAAAGAAAATTTACATATCAAAAAACTACATAAAAAGTTATTCAAAATAAGAGGTGTCAAAAATATTTTATTTTATTAAATAACAAATGAAAACGTAGAAATAAACAAAAGTTCCCGCGGCTGCTGAAAAATCAAACGTTGCAAATAATTTGGGACGGAGGGAGTATCACATTGCAAGAAAAAATCATATTTTTATAAATTTTTTTATTTAACGATTGTTTTAGAAATAAAAATTAAATTTATATATTTAAAAATGTTGTCTAAAATTTTAGGAAACAAGAGCTTACAATAATATTTTATTTTAGCAAATAATTAATAAAAAAGTATAAGTAAATGAAAAATTTTATAATTTTTGAATAATAAAGTGTGATGCTTTGTTTGGGACGGATGGAATAATAAAAATAATAATAGTAATAATTATAATAAGAATATTCATAATAATTATAATAATAATAGTTCATACTTTTTTGTGTGCTATTGATTCAATTACAATGTCGATTTTTTTATACTTTTTTCAGCTGAGTGCGACACAAAAAGTTAATGCGCCCGTCTCTACTAGAACTCAAACTTGATGAACTCTATAAATCTTAGAGAGTAAATTTCATATAATTGAAGTTGTGAGAAAAGTTTCATAGTCCTTACGTCCATAAATAGATTACAATTTTTTTCTCTCTCCTCTCGATAACTTTTGTTTGTTTACGCGATTTCATTAAGTATTTGATAAAATAAAATATTCTTGTCACATTTTGTTTTGTAGAACTTTTGACGTAGTTTTTTAATATGTAATTTTTATATCTTATTGATATATTAATTTGTAAATAAAATAATTTCAAAAAGTATGAAAATTTTACTCCATAACCTGCAATTTGTAATAAAATTAGGACGGTGGAGTATTCGGTATAGTATTTGATACCAATGGTTTGTCACTTGTCATTGTACATTTCAAACATAAACTACCTTCCTTTAGAAATGATTTATCCTTTACTCTTATGGTCTTATCATGACTCTGTAGTTTATTCCCTACACGTTTTCAGGTCATTTCATAAATTAAAATATTTTTATCAACTACTCCGTATTATTTTGTTTTGATATTATATTTTTTAATGTGTAAGTTTATTTTTATTTCTATATTAGTTTATAAATAAAATAAATTTAAAAATACAAAAATTTACTCATCATTTCAATAGGGATATCATTTCGAAGACAAAAGAAATACTCTCTCTCTCAAAATTATCTTGTACTACCTTCGTTCCATTTTAAATTGTCTGTTTGTCTTTTTTCTCCGTCCCAAAATAAGTTGCTTGTTAGTTGTTTTCGTAAACTTTTAAAAATAAAATACTTAAACTACCTCTAAAATAAGTCAATCTTCTCCACATTATATTAACATTCATCATCATCCCTCCTAAAAAGTATTGCCAATTTCGAAAAATCAACTCTATTTTTAATTTTCCTTAAATATGCCCAAAAGTCAAAACGAACGATTTAAAACGGGACGGATGGAGTAGTTGCGTGTTGCGATGTTTGACTCAAAATATTTTGAAGTATTTTATATGAAAATGGTGGAGGATTAAAAATAAAAATTACTCCGTACTTATTAAAAAACTGCATCAAAATATCTACAAAACTAGAAAAGACATGACTATATTCTTTAATCAAATGGAAAATGGAAATATGTAAACAAAATGAATAAAGTTTGAACGGACAGAATATTATGACACTAGGATTTGGTTTTTTCATCAATAAATCTATATAGTATCATGAAACAATGGAGTTTTACTCGGAAGAAACTAAATTTGTTACTAGAATAAAATTAAAGTTACATAAATCTATCAGTTTTTACTCCACTTTTTTTAACTGAAGTTACAAATCAATTCTATATAATTTCAATGTACAATTTAATTCCAATTTAGTTAATTTTGTGTAACAAACGTATTCCATATGTATTTTGATACAATAGTTATGATAAGTATACGATCAAAGGACGACTAATGTATGCAATATATCTTATGTGAAATTTGCACTAAATAGGACTAAAACATAATGACTTTCCTAATCTAGGACTTAAACTTTTTTATTCCTTAAATAGGACTTATTAATGTTTTCGTAGAAGAAATAATGTCCAGCAATGATAGACATTACTTGAATAATGACTAAAGAATAATGACCAAAGGTCCTACATTCGGAAATAAAAACATATGGTCCTATTTTGGGAAAGTCATTATGTTTTAGTCCTATTTAGGTAAATTACTCATATCTTATTTGATATTGTTTTGTTGTTGTTATGTTATTACTATTATTATTATCATTATTTATTGGAAATTATACATTTATACTTGGGTTTAATATGCAAAAAACAAAAATAAAAATATGTTCATTTGGCTAAATTCTCTTGTTTTATTTTGCATAAAATGTATATACATGTGTTTATATAATACATTAAAAACAATTATGTCCCATTTGGTACACGAGATTCGAGTTATGATATTGGATTTGGAAATTTCAATTAAAGTTATGATGTTTAATTGGTAATCCGGTAACGTTCAAATATGTAAATTTAGATTTGGTAGTGCATAAAATGAAATGAAATTGAAGAAGTCAATTTCATTTAATTCCATTCTATGAAATTTTAATTTTATTTAATTCTAATTCCGTCAATTCTGCGTACCAAATAGATCCATAGGATCCGTTTGATACACGCAATTGACGGAATTAGAATTGAATTGTGATTTGAAATTCTATGGATTTGATTGGATTTGAATTTTCCAATTCTAATTCATTTTTGACATTATCAATTCTAAATTCAAGTATTTTTGAACTACCGAACAATAGAATTGAAATTATTCTCTCCCATTCTAATTCTAAAATTTGAATTGTACCAAACTCAACCTTATTGTTGTGTTGGTTTGTTATTATATTATGATTATGACATTATGATGCTTAATCAATACTCCGCAATTAATAACAATAATAATATTATATCGGGCCGGGCCTAGCTGCAGGCTTGAATATAAAATTTAAGCCTCTCTCTTATATTTTCGGCCCCCATCTTTAACGATTCTTGCTGGGCTGTACCCAGGCTCGTTCATTTTAGGAATGGAGTTTTGAGGGTCGAGTCGGGCCGGGCCGGGCCGGGCGGAGAGCAGTGCCTCGAGATCCAAGCTCCAAGCCTGTATCCCGGCGCGCTTCTCAACTACGGTATAAGAAGCGGAATAGTACGGAATATCATTATACGGTTGAGACCCAATCTGATCACCCATTGGTCCTTTAGCCACGTCCCCGTTCTAGATCGGCGGCCATAATCGCCGATTGGTTGCTGAAAGGTACTACTCTTTACCATGTCTTCGCTCCCATTTTCTCTCTTCGTTTGAAGCCTTTTCTGCGTCGACGATCGTCTATCTCATCGAGATTTCCTGTTATCCGTTTTCAACGATGATAGGAGCAGAGGAGGAAGGAAATGGCGATGCTTACAGCTTCCCGTCGATTGACGAGCGGATCGGCGCCGTCCGTTTGCTCGCAGTCGCTGCTTTGTGCGACGAGCTGGAGATATTTCTCGACTTCATTCCGGGAGGAAAGGGACACTTTCGGCCCCATTCAAGTTCCTTCCGATAAGTTTGTGCCCGTCTCCTTGATGCTTATACTAATCTAGCAATATTTGATTTGTTTAAATTTTCTCTTTTTATTACTTCCTCTTCCGTTACTGCTTCTGTTGCCTGAAGCAAGTTTAGGTTCAAATTATTTAAAATTTGTCATAAAATTTAAAAAAAATGGGATTTATATATGG